TCTGACACATGACCCCTATCCCTTGCTGCCTCAGCTACCTGACCACCTCTTGCAAGCTCCAGACGAGCAAGCCTGTCTTCCACACCCTTAAACCTTCCTTGTATGTGTCTAAACCTTTCATTCCCTTTCTTTCTCCATTTTTTATGTGCCAGCGCCATCTTTCCTATCTTCTTTGTCATTGCATTTATGCCCTTCATGACATCACGTAGTGAAAATCCACCTTCAGGTTCAGCTATCTCCTCAACCTCAGCCACATCCTCCTCCTCCTCCTCCTCCACATCTGGCTCAACAATATGGTCATCTGGGGCAACATAAGGAACCTCAACCTGGGGCATACCACTAAACTCCCACACACCCGATCTCGTGTTCTTAGTAATCTTGCACTGCTCCAATAGACGCTTTCCGAACTTGCAATTATAGCCCGTGGTCTTCTTCAACAGCTCAGTCTCCATGGGAACACCAAAGTGAACCAATATCCTATGTACCAGACAGGCGTATGGAAGATGACCCTTATGTTTGGCCTTAAACATAAACCAACAGATATAGTGCCTCCAGTTCACCATCTGGGCATGTCGGATAGCCCACATAATGGGAATGTCATGTTCCAACACCCTGGAATGATTAAAAGATCGCGAAAACAGAACGTGGGTGAGGACATAGTGTAGTATACGGGACTCCACAGAAAGCAACCCCACCGTATAGTGCAAGTGTTCCCCACGGACTCTTCTCTGCTCCTGCACGGCATCCTCTCGTACATATCCTGGAAGTACTACACCACTATCGGCGTCATACACCACAGTCTGAGAAGAGTCAAAATCATAGCCGAGTATCTCCAACCATGCAGGTGCCGTCATGATGATCTCTATTCCACAGACCCTCGACCTCAGCTCGCCCTGTACGTAGCTGAGGTTATGGTAGAAGGCCCGCACCATAAGCTCTGAATACGGACATAGGGTCTCGGCCAACACCCTCAGATGTGCCGCCTCCAACACCCCCACAATTTCAAATCCCTCCTTATCAAAAAAGGCTGTATCCAAAGATTTTGGAGCACATAACGGCCGGTTCAAATGGTCACGTACGAATGAAGCGTGGACGGCAGGGTCGTCCTCAAACAGATACCCATACGGGAGGTCAACAGTATCAGGCTCTTCGTCTTGTCGCCTTGACGAAGAAGGCCGCTCTTGCCTATGCTTGGTGCGTCTCTCAAGTGACTCATTGCCCTCATCGCTTGGTCTTCTGCGGCTCGTCATTTGTTTAGGGTACCTACAATGAAACATGTCAACATTTAACTATATGAAACATGTCATGATGGTAATGAAAACTTGCAACATAAGCGCTGTAAACCAAAAGCAAACTTTTGCCCCATACAAACTTTTCAAACAAAAAAATTCACACAATGCAAAAAAATAAACCTTAGTAGATTACGGTTACAAAACCTACAACAAACGCTTTGATTAGAGTTCACAAATTCGGACAACAAACAAATACAAAAAATTCCTAAACCTAAAACACAATGCAAGTTAAGAAACCTTACCTATCCTTCAGATTTCACGATTTGGACCAAATTTGGGGGCAATCCACACGCCTAAAGGAAGGGTTTGGGGCGTTCTTCAGCTGCTCCTGCGGATTTGGGGTTTGGGCCGCCTCCTTAGTCGATTAGGTCATCCTACTCCCCCTCTGCCGAATGAGGGGTTTTTAAAAAACAAATCCGTCGATATTTAGTCGACTAAATATCGATACTTAGTCGACTAAATATCCCAAAAATGTAGTCGATTAAGATGATTTTTTAGTCGACTAAATTTGCGGTAGTCCACTTTCTGAAGATTGACCATTTGCTCGACTAAAACAGCAAGGTAGTCGACTAAAAGGGGGCAGGTTGGTGGATAGTTCTTGATCAGGGGCAAATTGGTTATTAATTAATTAATGAGGGGCAAAAGGGTCAAAAAGCCCAACTACTACTCTAAAATATCCAATACTAATTTTCTTTTTTTATGAAACACTCAACTAGTCTTTAAAAATCTGTTAATTCTTTTAGGGGGTGTTTGTTTGGAGACTTTTCTCCACTTTTCTAGCTAAGTGCAAAATGGATTATGCATTCCCCACATTTGGTTCATGGATTCATCAATTTTACCCATCTAATTCACTTCCCTATCAATCGACAATTACATGTAAAAACCAATAAAAACACTGTTCCAGAAAGCATCTCAAGAAGTGGTATTTCTATGAGAAAATCGGCTAAATTTTGGTTTGTGGTACAAAAGAGTTATTTTCAGATCAATATTTTATCTTCAATCAAACACATATTCAGTAGGGGTGTTAACGGGCCGAGCCGAGCCGAGCTTTGGTCTTAAAAGACTAAGCCTGTGTTTAAATGTGTCAGCCTGACCAAGCCTGTTACCTGTTATAAATATAACTATCGGCATGTGGCCTGTCTTATTTACGAAAAATAAACGCCTAGTTTAGCCTGTTAAAAAAAATAAGACAACAAAAATTTATCCAAACATAATATACGATCAACAACCCTAGTAATTCCATAAATATTCATAAATTCAATTTATATCCAAACAACATAATATAGAACAAAATAATTCAAAAAGTCTGTTTAACTAATAAAATAGGGTGAAATGGATTGAGGAGAAAGAGAGGGCTGTTACAAGTAGCATAAAAAATATAAAATATAAATAAAAAATAATATACTAGGCCAGCCTGAGAGGCTTTAAGGCCGAACTTTTGAATTGGAGCATGAGGCCTTTTTACTATACGAGCTTTTATAAAAGTCCAAGCATGTGCCAACAACCAATTTTAGACATGTAAGCTCAGGCCTTCACGAGCCGAGCCAAAGGCTCCTGAAAGGCCCCTGGTTTGTTTAGCACCCCTAATATTTAGGAATTTCATTCAATTTTCCTGGTAAAATTTTGTCCAACCAAATAACTTTTTTAAAACTTTCCTATCTAACTCACTTTCCCTGCAGATCCCTAGTATTTACATTTCTCTAGTAAAAAAAAATTTCTCCTCAACCAAACACCACCCTACTATTATCACGTTTGAATGATAATATAAAAAATGCTTCTTTTATTAATAACATAATTTTGATCCTAATTTATATGAAAAAATATTGTAAAAATAAGTCAAGAAAAATAAGTGTAGTTTTACATATAAAAAATAAAAAGTACACTGAATGAGCCCGAGCCTAATTAGAGTTCTCATGCCATTTCTCAATTTCTTTATTAGAGTTTCGCTAATTAAAAACACACAAAAAATGTCGGCAAATTACAACTTATTTATTTTTCTTTTATTATGTCAATCATATAAAAGCTAGTTTCATTTTGAAAATATTATTATTAACTATTAATATTGGCACCATATATTTTTTATCTTTCAAAAATTATCTCAAATTCATTTTTATTATAAATTCTATTAGTTTAAATTAACACATTAACACATTCACCATTCAAAATAACATATAGTCAAATTTTTATTCAAAAACATTCGAAAGAAAAGTTATTTATCCACAATTCATATTGCAATTGGGCCAAACTCGGCTTTTTATCTTTTTTATCCTTTATTAATTAAAAAATAATCACTTTGCCCTCGTTCCAAAACTATATATTAATTTACTCCTATTTAATCGATTACAAAGACATTTAATCGATTAAGGGTACAAATTTTTTTATAATCGATTACAAAAACTTTTTTAATCGATTAACTTTCAGTGACTTTGGTTTAGGAAAACTGCAAAACTTTCTCCTTTTGCGTATTTCCACCCAACTCTTATCAGATCAAATCCTCTTCTTGAGCCTCTCAACGGACTTTACCATTTTCATTGTTCTCTGCATTTTCTTCACTTTCTATTTCCTCTTTACCACCCACAACATCGTAAGCTTTTTTTTTTTACACTTTAATTTCATATTATCTGCTTTTTGTGAGGAAAAGTTGAACGAAGAGAGAGATAAAAAATAACTTTTGAATCAATGGTAATTAAAGTGATAGTGAAGTGGTAGTAAAAAAAATTGGTAGTAAAAATATCCTAGCTCATTTTCATTGTTTGTTTTTCGAGTAAACAGAGAGTTTTTGTTATTTATGTTTCTTTTTTGTTTCTGGGTTTATTTAATTCAAAGAAAAAAAAGCAGATCTTGCTATCTGGATTCAAATGGGATGAGGATAAGACTTTCGCTGGATCCAGTGGTGATTTAATTATGTTATTTTCTTGGGAAACAAACAGAAAATTTGAGCAGTGAAAGGAAGCCATGATAGAACCAGATTAATTTGTTATTATGCTACTTTCATGGGAAACAAACTGAAAATCTGACAAGAAATCTTACTAGAAAGGGACTGTCTCTGTTTTGAAAGAGATTTAATTAATTTGTTGAATGATTTGATTATGAGCTAGAGTTTTGATGGAGATGCACATGGATTTGAATCAATAAGTAGATCCATGCTTGCTTTGAAAACTGATCCTCTGAGGCCAAGGTTGGATCAGATCCGAAAGCATGTTGAAGATCATCACTCTTTGGCTCTGGTGTACGCATCCTATGTAAGGAAGCTCAAGCTTGAGGGCTCCAAGCTTGTCACTCTTCTGCTTCGTTTGAATAGTTCATCTCCAAGAAGTTTCCTATGCAACTTTGTTACAAAGCCACGAAAGTTAATCGATTAAATTTTTTTGTAATCGATTATATATATTTTTTTGAACAGTTGATCGATTAAGTGTATTTGTAATCGATTAAGTAGGGACATATTAGTAAATAGTTTTGAAATGAGGGCAAAGTGGTTATTTTTTAATTAATAAGGGACAAAATGGTCAAAAAGTCAAACTCTCAGTTAAAAAGAAATTAATATTAAATTTTGAACTTTAGAAAAAATAAAATAAAAAAACAGTCAAATTATTTGTTTTTTGGTTTTTCTTTTTAAAAAAGAGGAAGTTGAAGAAGCAAGGAAGCAGCAACTTTGGTGTGTGCGAACTCTGTGAGCTGAGTTGCGTGCATTCCTTTCCTTAAACCTCTCCCTCTCTTTTTCTCTCTCTCTCTCTCTCTCCGAAACAAAATGGACATTGATTTCAAAGAATATCAGTTACGCTGTGAACTTCGTGGTCACGAAGACGACGTAAGATTTTTGTTTCAAACATCCTCAACCTCCTCAAACATCATCGTTTTCCTTTCTTTCTTTAATGTTTTCCTAAAATTGTATTGATTGGTTTAAAACAGGTTCGAGGAATATGCGTGTGTGGCAACGAGGGCATAGCGACGTCGTCTAGGGATCAAACGGTTAGGTTCTGGTCAGTGGCGGACAATCGCAAGTTTGAGTGTTCAAAGATTCTGTTGGGGCATTCGAGCTTTGTGGGACCCTTGGCATGGATTTCCCCGAACTCGGAGTTCCCACATGGTGGTGTTGTGTCTGGCGGCATGGATGCTCTTGTGTTGGTATGGGACTTGAACACCGGTGAGAAGGTTCAAACCCTCAAGGGCCATCAATTGCAGGTCACTGGCATTGCATGTGATGATGGAGATATTGTATCATCTTCTGTTGATTGGTGAGTTTCAGATCAGCACTTTCTTTTTTATTCTAATTGTACTTTGGTTTACTTGGATTCCTTGTTTTAAATTTTGGATTAGATCAATTATAATATACTAAACTTACTCAATTTGCTCCAAGACTATAAATACCTCATGGTTGGCCACAAATCAACCTTGAAGTACAGTGCCTTTCTTTGTAAAATTTCCTGTATAGGCTTCTTAACATGTTAAGTTTTCCAATTATCCCATATTGACTTCAATTAGAATCCTTTGATACTGATTTTTGTTCCAGATAAACCAATTTATTGCCATTTTGATCCATGTTTTGCAAACTGTTACTGTTGTAGTTGATACTCTGGTGAATATGTTAATATTTATTTAGGAATATATGTATATATATTTCTCATATGGATTTCCTTATCATTATTTACTACCTGAATTTCTTATGCAGTACCTTGAGACGGTGGCGTAATGGGCAATCTATAGAGATGTGGGATGCTCATAAGGCACCAGTGCAAGCAGTTATAAAGCTACCCTCAGGCGAGCTTGTTACTGGTATGGCTACTTGTTAATGCACTTTTTTCATAAACTTCTCATTGTATCTTATTGGTTTAATAATCATTTTTCTAAGCAAGTATTTATACTTGGTATTCTGCAGAGCATGCATGAGATCTCATCTTGTTACCTAAAAACATTTTGTTCTTGGGAATGATATTGGGATGCTATTAGACTGAAGTTTGTTAACATATCTTCTGACAATTTTAGGTTCAAGTGACACTACTTTAAAGCTTTGGAGAGGAAAAACTTGCTTACATACTTTTGAAGGACATGCAGGTTTACTTTTCTGTCTCTGGAAATACGCTTAATATTTTATTCTATCAACAATTTATATTTGTCTTTGTAAATTTCTCTCATACATTTGGGTGGTAAGGAATGGCAGAATTTTGTGTTTAAGTTCAAAAATATTTGCATAGTATAATTGTGAATCGATTTTAGTTTTTCAATTAATCATTTTATTAAATAGGTTGTTTTCTTTCAATTTGACTTGTGTTTTCAATTTAAAGAAGGAAAAAGAGATCTCAGCAATTATGTTGCCTTGGGAACATGTCTTAGCTGTCAGATTATATCCTTTTATGCTATTATGGGAGATATATATATATATATATATATATATATATATATATATACTTGTTTCATTGTCTTAATATAAACTAATATCACTGTGCAAATGCTGATGAACTTTGAGGACTTTGCAGACACAGTTCGAGGATTGGCTGTGATGTCTGGTCTTGGAATCTTATCTGCATCCCATGATGGGTGGGTTCATTTCTGTTTCTGCACACGCTGCTCTAGATCTAAAAAATATTGAATCCCTGGTTCTGCATTAGAAAATATATATACCCTGTTTGACTTGTTTCTGTTACTACAGTTCTCTCAGATTATGGGCTGTAAGTGGTCAAGTGTTAATGGATATGGTTGGCCATACTTCAATTGTTTATTCAGTTGATTCACATGCATCAGGACTTATTGTCAGTGGTAGTGAAGACCGTTCTGCAAAAATATGGAAAGGTGATTACTTGTTTCTTTCTTCTTGCTACAGAGACCATGTGTCATTGGTTGGAATTTCTGACTTTTTTTTCTTAAATATTTTTCAGATGGAGTTTGTGTTCAGAGTATAGAGCATCCCGGTTGTGTTTGGGATACAAAATTTATGGAAAATGGGGATATTGTGACAGCATGTTCCGATGGAATTGTTCGTATTTGGACCGTACATCAGGATAATGTTGCTGAGCAGCAAGAGCTTGATTTATATGCTTTGCAACTTTCTCAATACAAGTCTAGTAGGTATGGTTATATATTGGATGTCATAATACGCTTGTTACTTCCCCTTGACACATCAGCTTCTCCTTTTCTTGTCTGTCCATATTGTAAGTTTCTTAACTATATCACTCTGAAAATATATTTTTCTTGGGAATTTTTTTTACTCCCAGTAAATCCAAATGTATTCATGTTTTTATTTATTTATTTAAGTTTAAATCTCTAGATTATGTCATACTTGGATTAATTATGTCGTGCTATTACTGATGAACTTAGCCTGATCTGTTAATTTTTGCTAGAAAGAGGGTTGGAGGATTGAAATTGGAAGAGTTACCAGGCTTGGAGGCACTGAAGATCCCAGGTCTGGTTTTAACTATTTCCTTTTCGAGAGTCGTTCAATATAAGCTTTGCCCCCTACCCCCGCCATTTGTTTCTTCTTTTGGAAGGTTGGGGTGGAAGGTGGGGGGACAGATACAATTTGCTAGTAATGGTGTCACATAGGGTCGGAGAATGTCTACTTTTGCAAATAAGATGCTATATTTAGTTATTAATATCCGTTCAGATAGAATAGGCAAGCTTGCTTGCCATGAAAATGTACCATCAAATAATTTTAAATATTCAACAGCTCTGCAAGCCCTCAGTTTTAAGACATAAGTAATATCTGATGACATTTTGTAATTTATATTTGTGCATAATAAAATGTGTAGTTAGAGCGGTTTCTTTTTCCTTTTTGAATTACAATAACCCAGCAGCCCAATGTATGTCATGGTTTCTGTTTTAATCATCTTCTGGTTCTGAACAGGAACTAGTGATGGCCAGACAAAAGTAGTCAGAGAGGGGGATAATGGGGTGGCATATGCATGGAACATGACAGAACAGAAGTGGGATAAAGTAATTTCCTTACTTGATTCTTTATGAGCTTTTACATAGGTGTCCAGAACTCCAAACAAATAAAAAAATTAGCTTCTGTTGTTTCTATTTCCCTTCAGCTGTGTAATTCTTTTTCCTCAATCAAATCCCAAGTTGCAGTGCCAAATGTAAATGATATTACAAGGTTATTTTCTAGTAACAATTTATTTTTACTTGTAGATTGGTGAAGTTGTTGATGGACCGGAGGAATCAAGTCGCCCTTTCCTCGATGGTGTTCAGTATGATCATGGTCAGTTTCCTGTGTTTCCCTTGATCACTTGATTAGGTTTACCTTCTTCACACACATTTCTTAGAATTTTTACCTCTGGCTGTTCAGTGTTTGATGTGGATATTGGAGATGGTATGCCTATCCGTAAGTTGCCGTACAACCGATCAGGTACACATTCTCACCATGAGGTTTGCATCTTTAATCCTGAATTAATAATGTAGGGATTGACTTTCTTGTGCCACAGCAAGAGAGATTATTTTCTGTTTTTTCTCTAAGTGTTTTGGGATAATGGATTTCTCTGACTTCTAGAGAGTCAGTAGGAACATTAGTTGTTTATTTCAATAGTTTCTTAGATATATTGTATAATTTTATTCTGAAACCTTAGAGCAGTAGATGGACTTATTAGTATTCCAGTAGGTAGTATATAGTAAGGATTCTGAAACATGATCTACTGGGCCAATTCAACCAACAACTGGTATGTTAGGTTGCCTTAGTTTCCAAAAGGCAAATTAGCATGTGTATGTGTGTGTACCTGCTCAATATATCAATAAAAAGGGAGTAATTGTTTTGCCCTATCATGTGAAGAAAAAAGAGGTATGGAGTAGTAAAGTACTACTCAAATATTTTTGTTTAACTTGTGTTTGATTTTTGCTTATGCTCCGAGTCTGAAGTTCAAAGTCGCAGTACTTTTAGGATAGTAGAGAGAGATTTGGGTAGAAGAAAATGTGTCAAAATATTCAAATATTCTTTTCTTTTATTTGTTTGCGATGTTGAAGGTAAGATGCCACCCTCTCTTATAAGTGGTTTAATTGCTAGGGCTTAGGAGTGATGAATTAGATTTCAAAGGATAAGATGCCACCCTCTCTTATAAGTGGTTTAATTGCTAGGGCTTAGGAGTGATGAATTAGATTTCAAAGGCTTCTCCTTTGATGTACTGATCTATTAAGTCTTATCAGCTACTTTACTCCCCATTTTCTGCTTTAAGTTTTCTTGTCACTTGCAATTGTTTCTCTTGTATAACCCAAGTTGGATGCTGAGAATCGAATCTCACACTATTTTTTACTTTGTATATCTTCTGATTTTGTTGGCTCCGAATAATTAATGCAAGCAAATGATAATCTGCTAATCCATATGATGTTGCTGACAAATGAACCCCTCAATTTTTACTTTTCATAGCTTCCTATTTTATTGGATCTAAATAGTTCATGCATACAATGTGTCCAGATAATCCATACGATGCTGCTGACAAATGGCTACTCAAGGAGAGTCTTCCTCTTTCCTACCGTGAGCAAATTGTACAGTTCATACTTCAAAATACTGGACAAAAGGATATTACTTTTGATGCTTCATTTCGTGATCCCTTTACTGGATGTAAGTATAATGTCTGTTAAATAAAAAATTGATGGTGATCAAGGAGGTCCATTGTCCCTGCATTCCTCTTTTTTTACTGGATTGTTTGTCTTATTTTCTGTTTCAGCCAATGCTTACATACCAGGACAACCTTCACGCACTTCTGGTAATAAAAGCTCACCTTATTTTGTCCTGCTTGAGTTCCATCATGTTCATTATGTATCATGTGCTTTGTGCAACTCATTCCCAATTGAATTTTTTGTTGTTTTTTTTTTTTTTTCATGACAGATATTTCTGTGAAACCTACTTTCAAGCATATTCCTAAGGTGTGCTTTCATACACTTTGTTTGGAAGTGGCTGATGTCTTTCTTTAGTCTTTGCGATATATTTTTTAGCCCGAGAATTCTTAAGCCCGGAGAATACAGATGATCTGATATGCCTTTTACTGTATTTATATATATATTTTTTAATTAAAATTAAAGAATGCATCGTTATTTAGTAACGTGGCCTACACCCAGATAGTCAAACTCATGCTATGTAGCAATGTCCTTAGTCCTAACAGACTATACTTTGTGTGTCCTAAGGTTGGTGTATGTAAATTTATAATGTTAACATTCAAAATGGAATTTGTAAATTTTGTACTTTGCTATAATTGTGGTCTAGGTATCCCTGTCTATCAAAGATAAGAATTCCTTGTTTCACTACAAGCTCTAGGTGGAGCTCAAAAGCAAGAAATCACTCTGACATGTTCTTTGGTTGAGCCTTTGTTTATTTGAATTGTAATTTTTTTTCCTCAGGAAAATTGCTTGATGTGTTCCTCTAGCAACTTATGCATTCTTTGTAATCTGAACTTAATTTTTAATTTTTTTAACTTTTATTATTATTATAAGAAGACGAACTGTCAGACCGGCCAATATATCATCTTTACAGAATGTTGCTCAGTGTAGAAGTGATTTGGTCCTACTTGGAAGTGACTATGCTAAAATTAGTGTAATCATTTGCTCTTTTTTTTTTTTTATAGACTGAATCTGATGTTCAATCCCCCTTTCCTATTTTGATTGTGGAGCTTCATACTTTTTCCCTTTTCAAGCTTATTGTGTATTTTGATAGCTGATGCCCAGTACTTATTTCTATTGTCAGAAAGGGATGCTTGTTTTTGATGCAGCTCAGTTTGATGGGATCCTTAAAAAGATTACTGAGTTCAGTAGTGCTTTAGTATCTGACCAGGTAGGTTACATGATCAGAAATTTAATTTTTTCCTTAGTTATTAATATGTAATACATAATGTTAAAAATGTATTATTTTATTAGAAGGAACTTCAGTTTATGACGATAAACCCAACTGCAACACTCAGGATTGGGGAACATTTTAAACCTTTGATATCTACTTTATCCATGATCCTTCCAAACTCCGATATACCTGTTGATGATTTTAGACTTGGGATCTACATGTTATGATGCCCTTCAATGTAATAGACATAAAGCATGCTTCAATGTTCAGTGTCATTGCATTTTTTGTTATTATTATGCTATATGAATTCAAATACTGAATTTTCTGAGTAATTTGGTCTATTGTCAATCTGATATAGGAAAAGCAGAACTTGTCTTTGACCGAGCTTGATGTTTCCAGACTGGGTGCTATTGTTAAGACTCTGAAAGATACTTCACATTATCATTCTAGTAAATTTGCAGACTCTGATATAGCCTTGTTACTGAATTTGCTTCGGTCATGGCCCATTACAATGATATTTCCTGGTTAGTTGGCATAGTTTCTGAATTTTGTCTCCTGTTGCTCCTTTTTATTGCACTTAAAAAGAAATTTTCATTGTTACCTTGACAAAACCATCGGAAAAAATTTGTTTCATATTGTATGCTTATTTCTTAATAAGTGAACTTCTCTAGTCTTTAGGAAAATGGGTTTGCTTATGTTAAGGTCGTACTGCAAGGTATGAGACTTGGAGTCCCACGTCAGAAACATAAGGTTCTGGTGTGGGGTTTATATGGATTTTGGGCTCTCCTATCTTAGGAGCTAGCTTTTGGGGTGAGGTTATCTCAGGGTTCGTATCCGCTTACTTCTTCATTTGTGCTTTCTCTATGCAGTCATTGATATTGTAAGGATGACAGTTCTTCATCCAGATGGTGCTATTGTACTTCACAAGCATTTTGAAGCTGAAAACGGTATCAACATTGCCATAATTTTGTTTTCTGACATTAAATTATGACAATAATCAATTCAAATTCATCTTTACAATGTCAAATATTGATGACTGATGACACTTCTTGAATATGTCTTTCTTTTGAGGTGTAATGTATCCTTGATTTTCTTCTGTTATATCAGACATACTAATGGAACTGATTAAGAAAGTCACAATAAATCCGACAATTCCTGCAAATCTATTGACCAGCATTCGTGCCGTAACTAATCTATTTAAGAATTCATGCTACTGCAACTGGCTGCAGGAACATCGTAGTGAGGTTAGCATCTCTTTATTGCAATGTTTTTTTGACTTGGAGTATTTAAAGGACTTGAAAAGAATTGCTTGGAAGACCAACGTTAATATAGGAATTTTCCTGTGACATTTTTGTTAAGAAAAAGGTGCATAAACTCATATTCTCTGATTAATGTAGAGCTTTCTATTGCTCTGCTTTTTAAAGTATTACTGGTATATTTTAATTTGAAGATATGCGTTGGCTTTTCACAATGCCTTCTAATTTACATAATTGAACTCTCCTTTACATCACTGGTAGAGTTATCAATTCATTTGTTCATTGACTTGGGCCATTTTATCCTTTTTTTCAATTGAAAATTTTCATTTTTGAAGGATTACGTGACTTTGTCCATGTTTTTTCTGTTCTGGTGGTAGATGGATCTTGGACGTTTGTTTGTGCTAACTGTGTCTGTGTTGCAGATTCTTGATGCTTTCTCAAGTTGTAGTTCATCTCCAAACAAAAATTTGCAGTTGTCCTACTCTACTTTGATACTCAAGTAAGTTCTTTTTCTTGGGTGGATACAATTACTCAACAATGTCTTTTCTTGACTATAATGTATAATATGTTTGTTTAGGTTTTGGAAGTTCCCTTTTATGTTGTTGCATTAATTCCAAATAAAAAAATAGTCTCCTTGCAGAAGTGCTCCAATGCTCTCTGGTTTTTTATTATCCCCCAAAATAAAAATTAAGCACATGTTCGGGAAAGCTTAAATTATAGGAAACGATCACCTTTTTTTTCTTTCTTTTATCTTTTTTTCCAAAAGCTCTCAGCAAGCTAAAAAGAAAAGCAATTATTCCTTGAATGTAAACTAATCCAAACACGTGCTAAATAAATTTATTTTCTTTTTGAATGAAAAAAATGAAAGAAGGGAGGTCAATTAGAACATTTAGATTTTTCTTCTGTGGTCAGTGCTTCAGTTCAATCTACTTAACCTCACTACTCTGTTGCATAAGTATAGACACTGAAGCAGTGGTGCTGGCTTTTACATATTGAGATCTCAGTTCTTGTTTCATTATTTTCATCATTGTAGTGGTTTGCTTTTAGAATTTTATGGACCCACAATGCAAACCTGCAATAACCTTTACTACTCATGTGATCCTCACAGTTATGCTGTGCTATTGATTGAATCGAAGGATCAAGAAGGGCAATCTCAAGTTTTATCAGCTGCACTTCAGGTATGTCTTATGCTGTTATTACCTGCAACAACAACCATCACAGCAACACCTAGTCTTATCCCACTAGGTGAGGTCGACTACATGGATTGATCAATTCTATTAGGATCCATAAAAAAACCAAGGTTTAAATAAAATCATTTAGGCAATGTCTTTTTAAATGGTTTCTCATTAATTTTTCTTCGGATATCTTACAACTAGAAGCTCTCTTTTTTCTGATCCAGTTCCTCCACCACCGCGAACCCATTCCTTGACCTTTTAATTAAATTATCTTCCATTTGATCCACCTTTTTTTTCCCCTCACTGAAGCCTCTATTGGTCTTCTCATATGACTTAACCACCTTAGGAGAATTTTCATCACCTCCTCCTTAATAGGTGCTAGTGGAACTCCAAGTTTCTCCTGAATAGAGTCATTTTGACTCTTTTTTTTCTTGTATATCTACTCGTTCACCGCAATGTTTTCATCTTTGTACTCTTATGTTTTGCTCTTTTTGGTGCTATATTGCCTAGCATTCACTAGCATAGAATATTGCTGGTCTTATAGAATTTTCCTTTTGAGTTTTGAATAGGAACTTTGTGTTACGATCCTTAGGACTTGGAGTCCCATATCGGAAACATAAGGTTCTGGTATGAGGTTTATATGGACTTTGGGCTCTCCTACCTCATGAGCTAGCTTTTGGGATGAGGTTCTCCCAAGGTTTGTATCTACTAGAGATATATAAAACCATTAAAGAGGCCTTCACTTAAACCACCCCCACTTTTGGCTTGTGCATTATCCTTCCTTCATGCCCAGTGAGCTCTCTGTGAGGGGGCGTGTTAGAGAAGTATATAAACCATTGATGGGCCTTCATTTAATAGCTTAAGCTTTTGGGTGAATTGGTTCTTTACATGATATCAGAGCCTCGTGTTCCGGGTTCGATCCTCATCGCCCCCCATTCTCTCTTGTGGAATTTCTTAGCATAGGTAGGTGGACCTGTGCATTATTCACCCTTCATGCCCAACGGGTTCTCGTGTGAAGGGGTGTGTTAGAGAAGTATATAAACCATTGATGGGCCTTCACTTAATAGTTTAAGCTTTTGGGTTGAATTGGTTCTTTACAGTATCAATTGGTAACAGAGCCTTTCGTTATGTCTCCCGGTTGCAATCAAGAGGCGCGGGTGGTGACGTTGGCATTGCAGTGTTCGCCCAGGGCTAGTAAAAGACTAGCTCAAAGCCAGCCCGCGTGGTGGAATGTTACGACCCTACTCCAAGGTATGGGACTTGGAGTCCCACATCGGAAACATAAGATTCTGGTGTGGGGTTATATGGACTTTGGGCTCTTTCTTACCTCATGAGCTAGCTTTTGGGGTGAGATTCTCCCAAGGTTCGTATCACTTTGCAACTACAAATTATGCCTAAATCATTTCTTCATGCCATCCACCCAGTTTGAATCCTATGTGTGACATCCCCATCAATTCGATACCTAAACCTTGTAAGTTGTGGTAGCTAGTCTTGCTAGCTTGGGTCTTTCTAAACCTGCTTTTCATATACTACGTCTTATTCCCACTTAATGAAAAGCCTTTAATTCCAAAGTTTATCCATATATTATTTAAAATATGAAAATTTCTACTTTTAGATGTTATTGTTTCTAAATTATAGTAAAATGCATTTCGGTTTTGTGTAGATTGTTGAGGATGAAAATGTTGAAGAGGATTCCAAATTCCGTGCTTTGGTTGCTGTTGGAACACTGGTATTTTTAAGTTTCCGTCTCTCATCTTGTGTTGATACTTAAATTCTATTTTTTCTTGTCTATATGTACGTCAAGCTAGTCTGCATGTTGTATCTCAACTTCACGTAACTACACATTTTTTGCATATTTGTTACAATCTGCTTGTGTAGCCTGATCATCCAATTCATTTATTTATCACCCTGTCTACTCTTGCTGCTATTCAATCTATTTGCAAATTGTTTTGGTTGTTGGTTTCAGTTTCATTTCCTAGTCAGTGGAACACCTTTGTCTTGGTACACAGGATTTAAGAAATGACATGCAAGAATGAAATAACATTTTATTTATTCGAAAAGCATACAAACACAATCAAATCATATTGCATCCTGATTTTGTTTTTTCGTAAATGAGAATATGTACAAAATATTAATGCAGGAGAACTAATGAAGATTAAATATTCACAAAATGTGACTTTGAGCAGATTTTATTTTTGTTTATAAATTAGTGTGTTTTGAGGCATATCGATCTCAGTGAATTGCTTCACTCAAGTTTTTATCTGTCCAATCTTCTTCAAACAGATGCTTGAGGGTCTTGTTAAAAAAATAGCACTGGACTTCGATGTTTTGAGCATTGCCAAAGCAGCTAAGGGTTCTAAGGTTGTCAAGATTGCTGAAGTTGGATCTGATATGGAGGTGTTAACAAAGCAGAGCTGAATTCAATACCTTTTGAGCAATTAATCTCTTCCGTTCCTTAATAAAATGAAGGTAAATAGGAATGCTCATGCTCTTGTTACATGCACACGGTTTTTTAATTCGTCTGGGCATTTTTTTGTTGTTGTTGAAGGGTTAAAAAGCATCATGTGGAGAGTTATTTCGAAATGGAAATATTTATGCAGTGTACAGCATTATGATCTTCAGATCCTTGTGCCAAATTCTGTCTCATGCATTGAGTTTTCAGTTGTATTTGATGCAATTATTCATTGGCTCACTAAGGAACCATAATAATTTCTTCTTTTTTCATTTTATTTGGTACAAGAACTTGGTTACGAAAATAGAAAAGGCAATTTGGCTGAAGATTAGATTTCCAACATCAGCAACACTCCAAGTCTCTAAGACTTGGGCCGATGTCAATTGAGCTATAAATTTGTAGTTGGAACCACAATACTTTATTCTTATTAACAATGTTTCGTATGAAATAAAATTCACAACTTAATCAAATCATTAGTCATCAAAAAAATTCTACCCTTTGTGTTAGAACACATATTGATGTTGGTATGGTTAGGAATTGTATTTCTCTAATTTGCGTACTTTTTATTGGCAGGATTATTGTTGTACTAAAAGGACGTTGGCAAACAAGACATCTTTCTATCTGAGGATTGTGCGTTTGTTTTCCGAACGGCGAGCTGTTACATTTAGGATATTCATTCACAATATGACACAATGGAAGTAGCCTCAGTATTACATGTCCCCTCACGCTTTCACCCCTCCTTTGAGATGATTATTTTATAACTTAATAGATGCCTCGCTAACCCATGAGATTTATCAGATACGTTGTTTATAGCAATGCAATTCTATTTCATGACTAGGGAAACCGAATTATTAAATAGGACCGTTCATATTTTTTATCCAAAAAAATAAGAATTAACAGTTGATTTATTTATCCAAAAATGATACTTTGATCTTAAACTTCCAACAATTTCGGGAAATCTCCAATCTTTTGATATGTCCGCCTATTTATCGATTACTTTAATTAATTGGGTTTGAATTCAATCGGACTCATAAATTTGGACTCTTCTTAAATTGTTTTTTCTATTCCCCTCAAATTTTCTTATTAAGGGAACGAATTTTTTATGATTTGAACCAGAACATTTTTGTGACGTGACGAGTTGCTTTTAATCTAAGGCCCTGTTTGGTAGAGGGATGTTTGTAAAAATATCAGGAAAGTTAAAATCGGTTTCGTACTTGCCCACGTTTGGTAGGATTTTTAATATGAGTTGATCGGGTATCTAGTTTGTCATGGATTTGCTCTTATGACCAAAATGTGATCGGGTATCGGTTATTTTTGTTCGTGGCTTCCGCAACACCGTCGTCACTCCACAGTCGCACGTCTTGAACTTCAATGTGGATGAAGTTGCAGAACACTTGGACACCAACGTTTGTCATTGTCATCTCCACCCATGCTTTCTCAACGATTGAACAACTTCTATGTTACTTTATGCTTCATCACAATGTACACAGGTCAGAAAATATATCCAAAAAACACATGGTAAAAAAACCCATTTATGTCAAAAGCTTACTAACACCCAATCGTTAAAATTTTAAAACAACAATCCAACATCAAAAAAATTGTTTGTTTATACATGCTGGCAGTTTACGAATTGAATACACAGATACAACGAAGCCTTGTATTTGGAAGTGCCAACCACCCATGTTTTTTTTAGGGCTATTAATCCACAAAAATTATAAACAAACCTCGGCAACTTCTAACCTTTCCAACAATAATGAAGCGCTTCGGAGTGAAAATGAAACTTGTTTCGATCTGATTTTTTTATTCCACTGGAAAAACCAAAAATGACACTGTATCACACAGTAACTCCATATTGATGAAAGAACGTTGCAAACGAAAGAGACACCAAAAAATGGGGTTATGTCAACGCACAACAAACTTACCAGGAGGATAAAGTCCAGTACATAAATCACGATCTATGAATATTCAAGACGAATGCTGATACAATGGTGGAAGAGTTCGCCCAGAAGAAATACTCATTTTCGCGCAATGGTATTTTTGTTTCTAAATCGTGTCCACATAGTTAAGTTATGAGGTCATTTTGGTAAAACTCTACCATATTTCTAAGGGTGTTCGCGGTCTGGATTGGATCGAATTTGGAAGCAAAAATCATTCGATCCAATCCCTTCGGTTTGACCATGTAATCATCCATTTGGTTTGGACTTTTTTTCAAATCTGATCCGATCCAATCCAATCCAATTTTCTTCGGTTTGGATTGGATCGGTTTTCGATTTTTTGAAAATCCTAAAATCTGTTTCATGCAGATAACATCTTTTATATATATATTGACTTTGTAAAAAAAAATTGAAATACAAAAGCATCAGTAAACTAAACGATAATATAGTTTTTTTGGGGGGGGCCGATGATATATGAAGTTCTACGTAGATGAAATTTTGTTGATGAGATGTGACTATATTTTTTCTTGGGTTTAAAAAAATTTGGATTATGATTGGAGAAAGACCAAAGTAAGTATAGGGGAATTAATGTATTGGATCGGTTTTCATTAAGCAATCCGAAAACCGATCCAATCCAATTAAAAGTTGCAGTTTTTTTTCGGTTTTCGATTTTTCAGTTTTCGGTTTGTTCGGTTATCGGTTTTTCGGTTCGGTCATCCCGGTTTGAATCGGTTTAGATCGATTGATGAACACCCCTACATATTTCCACCAATATTTTATCATCAACCAAACAACACCTCAGCAAAATTAACTAAAATTCATGGTAATATTTTCGCCTACCAAACAACTTTTTCATAACATTATCGGGAAACAGATATTCTAACTTTATTCCCAGTAATCATGATTCCCGAATAAAAAAAAATCCCTCTACCAAACGCCCCGTAAGGCATTTAGGGTTTATTTGAATGAGTTTTTTTCTTTTCAAATATTTTTTTTTTTTAGAAAAAAAAAATTATTTCTCACTATAAGTTTGTTTAGATATCTACTTTAAAAAAAATAGAAATCACAAAAAAGCTAAAAACACGTTCTCTTTTTTAAGTTAAAAATTTTAGCTTCTAAAAAAAAGCATAAGTCAAAAGTTAATTTTTTTTTTCAAAAACTCAATATTTTTTTTAAAAATCTAAATAGCTTTAATTTTTATAAAAAGTATTTCTAAATAAATAAGAAATAAAAGCTATTTTTTGAAAAAGGCCAAACAAACGCTGTCAATCCCAAAATTTTCAATTGTATTTTTCAAGTGGTATTTTTTCTTATCTTACTATATTTTTGTATCAAAAACAGAAACTTAAGAAAGTGCTTTATAAATATATGTATAAAAAGAACATATTTCATTCAGCTTCTTTATGTCCACTATAACTAGTTAATAATGTTATATATAATATATTATCTTTCCACAATCAAAGTATAATTTTTATTTTGGATTTATATAGTGATTATACTATAAGAAGTTTATTTTCGTCCTTTATTTTTCCTCTTTTTTTTCTTCTTCCAATATAATTATTAGTCGTATTATTTTTAATAAACGCCCATATAAATGTTTAGACGTATGAAAATATCTACTCTTTGGATAAAGTAACTGCTGTGGTCGTTATGTCTCATAAGCACATAGCTGATAGTTCCTGAAACAGTGCGCGTATCGTAGTCTCAAAGTCTTTGATCGATGAAGGCTTTGAGTTCAATGAACACCTCAAATCCATGTCTTCTCAAAACCCATTTGATTAAAGTCCCTAACTTTCACCTCTTCTTCAAATTCAAGCCATTCTCATACAATACCCATGATGCTAAGAGAGCTCATGCTCTCTCATTCACTATCAACTGTAAGAAGACAAGTTCCCAAGACATAAAAAACAAGGGGAAGGGCGTGTCCCAGAAGATTGTCTTATCAGAAATGTCCCCTCCACCCCTCACAGAGGATGATGATGACATCAATGGTGGTAGTGGTATTGGTAGTGGCAGTGGGGATGTTCCAGTAAGCTCAAAGAACAAGGGAGGCCCTTCTGGAATGGCCAAGATGTTGAGTAAAAGAGTTTTGCAGATTCTCTCTAATTTGCCCTTGGCTATTGGGGAAATGTTCGCCATTGCTTCTTTAATGGCTTTGGGTACATGCTAAAGTTTTCTTATTTTCTCTATTTCTATTAGTCTGAATTAACCAGCTGTTTTTACTCTCTGTAGTTTTCAAAATTTTACATAGTCTTAGGAGGATGTTGGTGGGTGTGTATTTTAGTTTCCTAAGTTTTTAGAACTCTATATTGTATTTGAGCTTAAGATGTAGAAAAAATTAGGACTTAAGAGAAAGTTAGAATTTTTTGTGTCATACCCAATTATCTTATAAATGAGTTTTGAAGTTCTTGGGAAATTGAAATGTGCTCTACAAAAGTGATGTGTCATCATTGTATCCTCGTTATTTAGAAGATAGATGTTGATGCAAAAGCTTCTGAAGTTTTTGGGTGAACTTAGTATGGCAAAAGAGATGCTATTTTGACTTTCTATACAACCATTTAAAATTTTTATGGCTAAAAGATGTGCTTTAATATGACCACAATGACTAAAACTTGGCCTTCTATACCAGGAACTTTTATTGAACAAGGTGAGGCCCCTGACTTTTATTTCCAGAAATATCCTGAAGATCATCCTGTGTTAGGATTTTTTACTTGGAGATGGGTTCTTGCCCTTGGTTTTGATCACATGTTTACGTCCACTATATTTCTTGGAATGTTGGTTCTCCTGGGTGCATCCCTTATGGCCTGCACTTACACAACACAGATCCCTCTCGTCAAGGTTTCAAGAAGGTTTGGTTGTCCGTTTTCTGTATTCATATTGCCTGAGTTGGGAAATTTCTTGATCACTGAAGGCCTAATTTGTTTCACAGATGGTCGTTTTTGCACTCTGCTGAGGCTATACTTAAGCAGGAATTTTCAGAATCGTTGCCAAGAGCATCAATCCAAGATGTTGGTACTATATTGATGGGAGCTGGATATGAGGTTAGAGTGTCACAACTCATGCTTACCTACTTGTTTCTTTGTCTTTTTCTTTATATCGTTTAGAATCTAAGATTCAACAGGACATGCATATAGGAAATGATTTGCCATTAACCAAGAAAAAACATATTCTTGTAGTTACTGGCCAACAATGAACTTAAATATCTTTTTTTGTGCTGACAAAGTGTAATTTTGGATTACAGGTATTCTTAAAAGGACCAACTTTATATGCTTTTCAGGGGCTTGCAGGTAGGCTGGCTCCTATTGGAGTCCATATAGCACTGCTGCTGATAATGGTTGGAGGAACTCTTAGTGCTGCTGGGAGCTTCAAAGGTTCAGTCACTGTACCCCAGGGGCTGAATTTTGTTGTAGGAGATGTTCTGGGTCCTATTGGCTTTCTCTCCTCTCCTACTCAGGCTTTTAATACAGAGGTTCATGTCAACAGATTCTCCATGGATTATTTTGATAGTGGAGAGGTAAATGTTAGTTTTTTGTTTTCCATGAAATTGTAGTAATAATACTTGCAACTGAATCACTCCCCATTAAACCCCCCGACTAGCGAGAGTGGATGAGGATAATTCTTGTACGCAGCCTTACTCTTACATAATTACAAATATGCTTTTTCCCGATTCAAACCCGTGACCTTTTAGTCACAAAAGAACAGTTTCACTACTGCTCCAGGCTCATTCTCTTTAATAATACTTGCAACTGAATTCATGAAATTTCAACCTGAAGAGGTTAAAGTAAAAATTCCATGTTTTTTAGTTATATCATTATTGAGTCATATTGATGATGACCTTCCTGTTTTGCCTATTTGATGTAATATTTATTTTTTTGGTTTATGTTACAGGTTTCACAGTTCCACAGCGATCTTTCCCTCTTTGACATGGATGGGAAAGAAGTAATGAGGAAAACAATTAGTGTAAATGATCCTTTAAGATATGGTGGTTTCACCATATACCAGACAGATTGGAGTATTGCAGCTCTGCAAGTTCTAAAGGACAATGAAGGACCTTATAACTTGGCCATGGCACCTCTAAAGATCAGTGGAGATAAGAAGCTTTATGGTTCTTTTCTACCCGTTGGAGATATTAACTCTCCTGATGTTAAGGGAATGTAAGTATTTGAAAATTTACTGTAACACTATAATATTCAATATTAGGAAGCTCAGAGAACTGTTCTGAAGAGTATCTTCTCTAAATTCTTTTTCATCTTAATTTATGAGTGGGGAAGACAAATTTAGGATTAAGAAAAACATTAACACTACCTTTATCTCAAACCAACCGGGGAAGACAAATTTAGAATCTTATTAAAAAAAAAATTACTTGGTAACAGAATTTGAAGAATTACAGATTAACTACAAAGGACCACTATTACAAGCTAGAACTTCATAGTTACACTCTGATCTTCAGCTTGTCTCATTATTTCTAGTTTCTTCTGTTGAATTATAGATCTATGCTTGCTCGTGATCTGCAGTCAATTGTCCTTTACGATGTGGAAGGGAAATTTGCAGGAGTTAGACGACCTAATTCGAATCTCCCAATCAATATTAATGGCACAGAAATTGTCATTGTTGATGCAATAGGGAGTAGTGGCTTGGAGTTGAAGGTTCCACCTTTAAACTTAACCATTTATTAGATGCTGTGAGTTATTTTACCTTTGTCATTAACTCATTGTTTATACAGACTGATCCAGGTGTGCCAGTTGTATATGCTGGATTTGGTGCTCTAATGCTCACTACTTGCATAAGCTATTTATCTCATTCACAGGTGAAATTTCTAATGAAACATTTTCGTACGTAATACTACACATATTTTGGTGCTATAGCTTTAGAAAAACATTGTTTTATTCGTATCATTCTTTCTCCAATGTTGCTAACATTTTCCTTTTTTCAGACAAATGATAATGACTTGGATTTGTTTTCTTGTTTGGCTAAAAATATTGCTATATCATCTGAAAATTCCCCTTCAAAGACATGGACCGCCGTCTGTATGCATGTTGGTTGATAATAAATTCAATGTTAATGCAGCACATACATTGAACTGATAATCCATGACATCTAATGCATGGTTGAACTAAAGTTTTGCCAAGAACATTGCTTTCTTGTAGCTTAGCTGAACTTTAATTATCCACATTCAATTGTATATTAAACTGTTGATTTACTTCCTGCTCAACTGAAAGGTATGGGCCTTACAAGATGGGACAAGAGTCGTTATTGGAGGGAAGACTAACAGAGCAAAGGCGGAGTTTCCAGAGGATATGAACCGCTTGCTTAATAAGGTCCCTGAAATAGTTGAATCATCTCTATCTAAGGAAGCTAATGGCATTAGTCGTTAGCTTATGCTGCTTTTGAGACATGGAGATGAGAAAAGAAGACTCTTCAATTGGAAGATAGTGACTTATATGGATTATATAGCAATGATAAAAGTACTTTGACATGCAAATACAAATTGAACTTCATACGTGAGGTGCCCTGCAGTTGTCTTCGTTGGCTGATCGACCAAGGATTTCACAAATGCTCCAATGATTTCTTCGGGAAGTAAATCAAGAAAACTTTGCAGCTCATCATATATGACATTATCTAGATAATACTGAGTTCCTTACATGTATATTTCCTGCATTTCTTTTTTTCTTTTTTTTAAAAAATTATAGGACCAAATATCAAAACTCTTTGTTATTTGTGTTATTCTGGTCCCTCATTTAAGTAATCGAAAAGTATCTCCGCAATTTGATACCTCCCTAATAATGTATACATGTTGCAATTGCAACTGCATAAAATTGAGCCACTTGCATTTATATTTTATTGTATTAATCTATTCCTGTTTCTGCGGTCCCAATTAGTTTGGAGATATATTTTCATCTCCTTGCAGCAAAAATTTCGAATGTAACATGGTTGGTTTATGATGACAACTAATACCAAACACTAAAACCGCAACAGGCAACATTTGTAAGAACTCATTTAACATTGTGCTTGTTATTGATAAATTCTACAATACATGGGACTGTAATAGACCATGTGATTCAAGTCCCATATTTCATTTATACAGTGACAATGTATATATGCAGACCTACTTTACGCGAGTTGCAATGCTTCTTCCCGTTTCAAGTCAAACACCTTGATAAGCGCATCTTCAACAACCTGTTTAAAATCCGATTAAACGAATTGAATTGGACATTATAAGCAAAAACTGAAAGGACTGCACAGCATTTGACATTTAAATAAGTATGATACAGGCCGTTAGCTGTAGCTATTAACTCAATTGGACATAGCATGTTATGGGCACAAAAACTTAAGAATGGAAGGCTAAGAGTTTTATCAATTCACAGGCAAGGCAAGAGAGATTACCTTGTCAGGTGTAGATGCACCAGATGTTACACCAATTGTTATAGGACCCTTTGGCAGCCAGTTCTCTTTCTCCACCAGCTCGCCATGCTGAAAGACCAAAAGATAAACATTATTATCATTAGCGAATGCTGAAAAGAGCTAATAACAGTTGACACGGTATAAAACTCTCTATCCATGCTTACATTCAACTTGTATGCGATTCTGTTTCCTGGACCAATTCTTTGCTCACTGTCAATCCAGTAAGAAGGAATTCCACGTTCCTCAGCTATCTCTTGCAGATGTGATGTATTGCTTGAGTTCCATCCACCAACTACTAACATAAGATCCATATCTCTCTCCACCAGCTTGTACATAGCATCTTGTCGCTCCTGAAAGAAAATTCAACATACCTTTTGACTAGACTGAGCACATAACTAACTGCCAGTGATATGGCATAAATATGTATTGTATGGTGCCAACTTATAACTGGCTTAACAAGCGCTGCAATCACATTTTAACTAATCCAAAATAAGCAAGAACATCAAAGACTAGAAAGTGAAACTACCTGAGTAGCATCACAAATTGTGTTGAAGCTTATGAAGTGCTCATTGATGTTTTCCACGCCAAATTTGCGCATCAGAGTCCTCTCCACTAGTTTCCCTGTGAAACAATCAGTAAAATAAATATCACAAGTACTTATCTAAAGGGATAACATGAGTTTCCCCAACTACCCCTCCTTCAACCCCCGCACAAAAGGCCATACTAAAAATCAAAAACTAACCAATCTCTTCAGTCTCTCCCTTGAGCATTGTTGTCTGATTTGCAATGCCTAATTTTATCAGGTCATTGTCTGGATCAAAACCCTCAGAAACTGCAAATTTAAATTTCTGTACAAAAAATAAAATAAAAAAATCATGATAGTCAAGACCACAGGATTTTGAAGACAAGATCACACGACAAAAAGACATACCTCTAAAAATGCATCTTTGGTTGAACTGGATCCATTAAATTCCCCACCAAGAATATAGTCACAAACATATTCAGCCTGGATAATGTTAAAAATTATGCAAAAATTACAACAAATTTCTTCAAGTTAAGACATTCACCACACATAGAAATTGAGTATCAGCAGAACTTAGGACAAACCTCTGCCATATTCTTCACAATAATATACTTTCCAGCAAAAGATGCAGTTGCTACAGTTTCCTCATGGGCATATTTACCGTGAATTATGGAGGTATAATCTCCTTTCTTGTGCTTTTCAACAGTATTCCATACCTTAAAACAAGTTAAGAAATAATCTCAGTATCCGGTGATGCATGATGCAAGATATATGAATTGAATATATGCAAATCAGCACAACAGAAAGCGATCTTTATAAATGAATACCTTTGAAACCCATGGGCAAGTTGTATCAACAATTTGAACATTTTTCTCACTCAAAGTCAACATCTCATCCACTGCTGCTCCAAAAGCAGGCAATATGACTACATCACCCTTGTTGACAACATCAAATTGTTTTTTCCCTTCCTCCACAGGAACATTCTGCACTTTCATCTCCTCTAGCCGCTGCATTAATAATATATCAAGTTCACTAATCAACATTATTTTTTATGTAAAAAGATGGCATGTAAAAGAAACAAGGCTGTCATCAAGCTCAGGACATGAATCAATTTTTACCAACTTCATGAACTGTATGGTATAACCACAAAGTACCGGTTCAAAAATTCAAAATCATTCACCGATGGTGATAGGAAATATTAAGATACCTTATTAACAGTTGGATTGTGGATGATTTCATTGGTAAGCCACAATGTCTCATCAGGAAACTGTTTTCTAGCTTCATAAGCGATTTGAACAGCCCTCTCGACTCCCCAACAGAAGCCATAGGCTTCAGCCAGCATTACCGTGACATTACCCCATGTATACTCATACTCATTTTCCTTCAAAGTCTTAATGATGTCACCTGAAATTACAAAACAAGGGTACACAAAAAATCACTAGAAACACACACAGACAGTGAACAAAACATAACATACAGTATCACGCAGCATATCTGAAGGAAACTAACAATGAAAAGCATATTTAAAGAAGCTTAACACTAATTTTAAGCTCAATTTCCATGAAATGGAATAAAATAATCTGCACATATCAATTGAATAACAAAATTAAGCATAAAATTTAGTAATCCAATTTATCCTCTCTCTTTTTTTACCAAAATAAACACATCCCCATTTTGAAAGTAGCAAGATTTTTTTATGGTATATGATTCATAAGCATATCAAAAGAAGCTAAACACTAAACCCCAGCTCGGTTCCCATGAAATTGGGGGTTAAAAAAAATCATCTATAACAGAATAACTGAGTTGCAAAATTGATGAGGGAATCCAATCTGACCAAAATCAAACACATACCCAGTTAAAAAGTAGCAAACTTTTCTCACTTCCAAGCAAAAAAAAAAATAGTTTTTATTTTATTTTTTTGAAGAAGGGTGAAGTGAAGAATAAACATACTGGTGTACTCGCGATTCATGAGCTGGAGGGTTTCCTCTTTGTGTCCAAAACCTTTGCGGTTATAATTCTTGCTCCTCGTGAGGTTCTTCCTGAACACCTTCGCATCGAAATCGGAATCCACAGACACGGAAGAAGAGGAATCGGATTCAGCGGAGCACCGGACGGAAAGGGGTTTCCGGCACCGGATTCTACTAACACTCTCCGGCAAGGCAACGTCGGTGCGAATTGTAGGAAAACGGCATAGCTGCATAGAGATAGCCATCGGAGATAGAGTGAGTGCGTCAACACAACACACAACACTGTCACTGCAAACTAGAAACTCGTGTTCCGTGTTTTTCTCAAGTTTCGTTTCTTTTTAGTCTTTTACTTCGTCTATCGTTTTTTCTTTTTTTTTAATTGATTATTTGCATATTAATTAGCAATTATTTTTTCTGGTTAGGAAAGTTTGTCAGCTTTTGACGTTTGGTTAACAGAATGTGGAGGTTAGGCCTATTCCTTGATACCTTTGTTGTTTTCTTCCTCTTCCTGCGTCCAGTAACATTTTAGTATTTTTTTTGAATATTTTTTGTTTTTGCGATATTTACTCTTTGTATTTAGGAAAAAATATTTATTATTTTAAATGACATAACTTATATTATTTCACTCTATCGAAGATGTAGAGATTATTTATCGTGGTTCGGAACCACCATTTTTTAGGTGGTCCCTTAGGGGACTTTTGATACAGGATAATTTTTTTTACTGGGAAGAAAATATTACCGGAAAGTATGTGAATTTTTTTTTTATCGAATAAGTAACAAAAAAGTATTTGGTGGTTTACCAACATTTTCCTAGGATTATTTGATTAAGTTTTCTAAGTTGTTGTTTGGTTGATTGTAAAATAATAATAGGAATGTAGGGTTATTTTACAAAAATAACCCCACATTTACCTTTTCGTTCAAAAAGAGTTGTTCACATATGGTACGATCACGAAAGTTATTTTGGTCCATTTTTTCGCACTTCATTTTTTACTTCCTCGGACAACAACGTATCCCACACTATCGATGGACAACCTGGGTTGCATGTTGTACTGAATTTGCCACATAAAAACAAAAAATCAGATAATATTTTACCCAAGAAACTAGCTATTTTTTTGGTGCCAAACACAGCTTTTCTCTTTTCCCAATGTCGTTTTCCCTGGCATCCAAATAAAATCAGCGTACCAAACATACTCTTAATGTAAATAGAAGGGTAAAATTAAAAAAAAAAATAGCAAAAGTAAAAAGGGCAAGAAAAAATTGATGTTATGAGAGGGAGTACCAAATTATTGGTGGTCCTGGACCATAAAAAATATTTTCAAAGATGTGGGACTCATACTTTTATTTTTTTTGTGCACCCTCTTTTTCTCTTTATCTATCTCTCTTTCACTTAAAATAATACAACTTTATATCATTTGAAATGATATATACTTTTTCCTTATATTTATTATGATTTTTAAGTTCGGGTCTTGCTATCCGATATAACAGGATTTTCCAATTATTGTTTCTACAAACCCAATTGTGATCACATTAATTTTTTTATATTTTAGTAAATAGTGGTCGTGTTTTTTTTTTGTTTTTTTTTAGTTAATAGTGGTCGTGTTTATTTTGTGGATTTAACAGTTTATGGCATGTTTTTGTCATGGAAATTTGTGGTACAACAACAAACATGGTTTTGGCTTCATTCCGATATTTTGTGGATTGTTTCTTTTTCCCACTGCCACCTGTCGCGTTAATAACTTCTTCAATATTTCTGACGATAAGGATTCTTAAACTTAGAATTACCCCGGGTCCATCCATGATCTTTCGTGCCCGTTTCGATTTAAACTAGAAATTACTTATAAGTATAAGTTAGGCCAAATAGATTTTGAGAAAAGTTTTTACAATGAAAAGTTCTTCTTTTTATAATGAAGAAAAAAGCTGAAAACTAAGGAGGAGCTTTTTTTAAGCTCTTATTTATTTTTCTTGAATTGTGTGCTTTTTTTAAATGAAGAGTGATAAAAATAGAGAGAGGTAATTTTCTTGAAATATGTGTTTTTAAGTAATTTTTAAGCTAAGTTTTTTATGTAATTTCCAAACAGCTTTTAGCTTCTTTTTTTTAAGCTCTTTTTTTTAGCTTTAGCTTATAAGTAACTTCTAACTTAGAAATAAGAGGATCCAAACAGGCTATTTGTATTATTATCAAAACTCCAACGTCTCTGATTTTACCAAAACTCCGATGTGTTATTATCAAAAATATTTTCTACCTTTCTCGTGTACCCACTATTAAATGGTCAAATATGATAACATGTTAATTGTTAAAATGTTACAAATAAAAAATTATATGTCCGAATTCGAAGACACAACATTTTGTGACACAACCCATTCTACCTCGCCTTCAATTCGTCTCGAAATAAGCATGTATTAGGGTATAAGGTGATAAAACTAGATGTAAAACCAATGAATTGTGTTCTGTCCTAAAGATAGATATGTCTAGCTCAAAGGATTAAGAATTTTTTTTTGGATGTAGGTGTTCTCTTTAAGATATATATGAATTAGATATAATTGATTATAGCAAATTATTGTGTACAAGTAAAAGGAAAAATATCTTTCGCTAAAGGGGATATGTGTATGCATAGTGAAATATAACAATAAGGGGGCATTTGGTAGATGAATTTTTTTTTTTATCAGGCAAGTGAGTTTGGTGGGAAAGTGAGTTTGGTGGGAAAGTGAGTTTGATAGGAAAGTTTAAAAAAAGTTGTTTGGTTGGGCAAAATATTATCGGAGAAATTGAGTTAAATTTTCAAAATCTATGTTTGGTTGAAAGTAAAATATTGATGAAAAAATAGGTTAAAATTACCGAAAGAACCCTTTGAATTAATGGTGGTGGTCCGATAGGGGCATAGTTGCAGTTAGATTCATTCTCCCTATGCTTCTCTACCCTTTGCATCAATAGACTATAGACATCACCACACAACGCACACACACACACGAGGGAAAATCGCATCTCTCTGTTATTGCCTTTGGACATGAACGACACTCAATCTCTTGCTTCATTCCCAAACCTAGTTGTTTTGTAGAAAGTGAAAGCACCCTTCCTTTTTATACGACTGATTCTGAGAAGAAGAAAAAAAGAAAAAAAAAAAGGTGAAAGTTTTTCTTAGCTTGAACAAAATATGATCCCCTTCTTGTAAGATTTCCACTTCCTTTCTACCCTTCTTTTTTTGGCGGCCCTTTTCGTTGTTGTGATGCTTCTCCTGGCTTTCTAAGTCATTCTCTGAGTAAAGGTGGTCGCTTTTCGTTGTTGTTCCATTTTTTTTCATCTGAGTAAAAGTGCTTTGTTGTTGTGATGAAGAGGGTATTTTTGTCAACTTTGTCATCCTCTTTCTTCCATTAGCCTGGGCATCTTCCAATACCACCTTGGAAGTGGTAATATGGAACTGTGTTTTTGGTCCTAGATTGAACACAATTGTAAAACTCTGGCCAAGAATGTTTCCTATCAAAAAATTTCAAAGTCTTCTACCAAACAAAGAGAACATAAAGTCCAATCTCAGATGCATGGCTATCTGAGAAAAAACCCTCTACCAAACACTACCTAAAGAGAGAGAATGAATCATACTTGTAAGTTTTACCTCTTATTTATAGAATTTAGCTGTTAAGTATGAGAATTCTTGACCTTTTTTGCCTCCTCTAGAAGCCTAAGCTCAAGTCTGATGTTGTCATATTATGATTAATATTTTGGATTAATATTTTCCTTTGATTATATTATATTCTTATTTTTATTGCCCCTTATTAGGTTGTATATTAGATAAACAACATATATGAGTCCATAATAAATAGTTGAAGAATATTTCACATATTAGTTTGAGGATCCTGGTATGGAGAACCGTACCTTTACAAGAAATTAGTATGTGTTAATGATGTGTTTTTTGTGAAAGAGGATGTAAAGTATGAGTTATTGTCATGTGTAATGTGATATTTAAGAGTTCAACCCTTTCTATATGCATATGAGAGTTTTACTGTAAAAAAACAATGTCGGGCCAACCCAACCCACAACAAGTTCAACTCATGCTGACCCATTGTTATACAAGGCAAGCTTAACAAATTGATGAGTTAAACAAACCAACTAGACAGGTTAATGGACCCTATTCCCCCAAAATTTTAACCAACTTTTATCACTATAAAGCTACAAGTATACAACCATAGCATCTCAGAGCCAAAAAAAACTTTTATACTCTAAAATAAGTACTAAGTCACAATATTTCATCATTAGTTTAATGGCAATTATACTATTTTTTTAAGAGTAAACACCATTTTTGGTCCCTGGCAATATCTATGAAATCTTTTTTAGTCCCACTCCCTGGCAATAAAAAAGAACCAAATTGGTCCCTAACAGTATGTAAAAAGGGCCACGTTAGTGACGGAGGAGTTGACATAAGGACTGATATGGCCCTTTTTTCATAATTTTAGGGATCAATTTGGTCTTTTTTTATTGCCAGGAACTTTAGATATTGCCAGAGACCAAAAAAGATATTTACTCTTTTTTTAAATAGTTGTTTAAATTACACAATATTCATTTTGATTTTTTAAAAGTACATTCCCCTCTGTTTAAAGATAAAATGTATTATACTTTACTATATTTTAATATAAAGTTGCAATCATAAATCATTTTTCCCTGTATGCAACGTCTAATATAATTTAAAGCTCATTTTTTGAATATTATTTATCATTTCATCAATTATTCGATTATCGAGTCGAGTAGGATCATATCTGCGGCAAAGATCTCCCTTTCAAATTTTTGACACAATTACGTTCAAGGGATTGGAATTTGAGATTATTGATTAAGCTGAAATAACCCCGTATCAATTGATCCACGTGATCATTTAAAGCTCATTTTAAAACATTCTATTATTGATTCTAGGGTTTTAAAGATAAATTAGAGTTTCAAACTTTATCATTACATGCTTTTAAATTTTTTAATTAATTTTAAATAAATATTAAATTATGATTCGAATTTATAATCTCGTATAAACTATCTAAATTTCTCACACTACCCCATTCTCATTAATTTACTTCTTTTGAAATTTTTATTTCATAAAGTCTCAAATACAATAATAAAGGTTGAAAACTATTCGTTAGTCAAACAAAGAGAATAAACTTAGCTTACAAAAAAAGAGAGAGAATAAACTTACCCCCAAAAAAACTCGTTTATAGTGAAATAAGTTAAAATATGGGAAATATTACTCTCCTTTTACATGGGGTAACTTATCTCATTTTCTCTCACTTCGATTTTCGCACCTCACTTTTTTTTCTTTTTCTTTTTTCTTGTAATTGTGGGACCCACCCAGTTTCTCTCTACAACATAAGATACCCATCTTACACAAAAGAAGATTAATAAAACCCTTAAAATATAGTATGTATTAATCTAGGGAAATTGAAAAGTCATCTTACAGGAATCTGAAATTTTTTTCCTGCAGATACATAGAAACCAACGCTAACCTTTTTTTCTTCTTTTTTTAAAGAAAAATATAACGGACCCACAAAGATTGTATCTGTAGGAAATTGGAGTGTTGTCCTGTAACATTACAAGTATAAACCCCATTAATCTATCGGTGAAAGTGAACTTAATTTTGAAAAACAGAAAAAAAGTAGTATAGTTTAAGGGAAATATTAGCTTCGTGTGTAGGAAAGAATAACTCTCTCTTACACATTCAAAAAGATGTAGGACCCACTTCAAAATTTTTTTCTCTTTTTCTGTGCAATGAGACCCGCATGAGTTTGTGAGTGTAACATGAGATATCTTATCTCATGTTGCATAAGAAAATATAATCCCATAATAAAAAATTATTATTTCATTTTACATGAGATAATTATCTCATGTTATTCTTACATCAAAAATTATGCCACCATTTTTTTTTAATAAGTGATGGGTCTCATCATATCATGTGTCTATAATAAGAAATAACTATTTTCAACAACGTGAGAAAATAGAATCTCAAATATAATACACATATTCCTTGAAGAGCGAGCAAAAAAACTATATTAATGTATTTCTTAGAATGCAGAGTTTGTAATTCGATTTTGAACGAGAGTCGTATTTAATATTTAATGTGATGTAATATAAAAAATGTTCTCCTCTGACTCTAAGTTAACTGCAGAGAAAAATGTACTCTACAATTCCCGCATCTTATTATACAACCACTTACTTTATGTACAAGCTTTCTTTTCACATGTTCAGCACATAATTCAGCAGATGAGTACGTTGTATCTGAAAAGAAAAGGCACCTAATTTCATTATTCATTCTTTTTAATTGTAAATAGGCTATTATTAGCTTGACTGATCAAAATAACGTAAAAACTAAAACAATACTGAAAAATATAAAAATATAAAACTGTTTGTGTAAGACATAAGTTCACGTTATGCAATATATTATTAAAATAAGAAGAATATTATATTTACAAAATAATTTATTTATAAACTCTTACAATCAAATCATAATTGTTATTTTTCATTAATCTATCGGATATAATTTATTAATTAATAATTAATTCTTAATAAATTATAAATTGATGAAAATCAACGATTAAAATTTAATTGTAAAAATTTGTAAATAATTTAATTTATAAATATAATATTTCTGTTAAATTCTAAAAAAGTAAAATTAAATACGTCACATTATGTGATAAATTTCTTTCCTACACATTCTTCAATAACTGTGCCACTTTTTTCTTTTTTTTTCTCTTTATTTTTCAGGTGATGGAGCCTACAAATTTATCTCTATGACATGAGATAACTTATCTCCTTTAACATGAGATTAATAAAACCTATAAAGGGTAATGAAGTTCTCATGAGAGGAGAATAAATTTCTACTCACCCATCGATCCACGTGCTTCTACTTTTTTGGTTTGTTTTTTTTCTCTATCATAATGGGTCCCACTTTGGTTGAGTGTGCATAAGAAAAGTTTTTGACTTCTATCACATGAGAAATATAAAGTCCTATATATATATATATATATATATATATATATATATATATATATATATATTTAAGGGACCTATTAATCTCATGTTGCATGAGATAAGATTGTGGGGTCCATTATTTTTTTAAAAATAAAAATAAAAAATAAAATAGTGAATCTACTATTTTGTCTCTGTTGCATGAGATAAACATGAGATAATTATTTTTCTATATTTAAAGGGATTTGCATTTGTCATTTAACATGACACAACAAACTTTCTTACACACATAATATTTTGTGGGGCCTACACTTTTTGAAGAAAAAAGAAAAATTATGGCACGCAAAACGAATCTCTATAACATTATACCATCACTTTTTTTACAACATAACTCTTATAAAACCTATATTTAAAATATACAATTGGCATGTTGAAAATTAAAATACATATAAATAAGAGCATCGATCTTTTTAATTGTTTATTTGTTTCAATTTTTCACTAATTACATTTAATTGAACTATAATAAAAGTAAACATAAAAATTAATTAAACTAATTTTAAAATTATAAAGAATAAAAAAAAATGGGCAGTTTATGTGAAGGGCCTGAGCCCTGAAGGCGTTAGCTGCAGCCACTCGGCAGTCGGCAATTTGAGTTCCAATTAATTTCAGGGTAATAAGTAGTTCTCTTACGTTTAAGAGAGAATCCAAGTAAGACCCACTATTTAAAAACAAAAAAAGAAAGAAAGAAAAGGCACGATTTTCAAAGTAAGAAAAAAGAAGACAACTAACTCATGTAAAATGAGAGTAGTATTTTCCTTAATTTTATTATCCTAATTTGAGTCGACAATAAACAATTACAAATATTAAAAATGAAAAATAGAATAAGCTGGGGGAAAACGTGAGAATATGATAAAGCTTTAGGACAAAATAGTAAAAAAAAAAAAAAAAAGTATTAGCCATTAGGGTTTGGTTGCTCTGTGACCGTGAGTTCTGCTTCTTCAACCCAATACATCTATATATATGTATGCAAAGAAGCCCAAAGCGCAGCCAAACCCTAACCATGGTGGAGTTAGCCATTCGCACTTGGCAGCAGCTACAGCTGCAGAGGTTTCGTTTCTCAATTTTTACATTGTTTTTTCAATTCAAATTATTATTAATGATTTATTATTATTGTTGGGTTTTGAATGGGCCTTCATAATCCCAGATAAGCTTGAGGATTATTAATGATCCTCAAGTGCTGCTTATGCTGATTCATGGGAGGCCAAAAGTAAAATGTTGCAAGTTTCGCTGATAAATGCCTTTCTCTGATTATTACTATATCAAAGGCCTTTACTAGTAACTTTGCAATACACTCTTCACTTTTTTTGGTTACTCTTTCACATACTAATTTTTCATTTTATCTCCATCCAAATCCAAAGGTTTGCTGAATTATTTTAATACATACAAATGTTTTCTGAAAATTGCTACATTGCATGGTTGAATCGTCCTGTGTCTAACAAATAATTGACAAGTTTATCAACATAAGAAGGGTGTGCCTATGTGTTGAGAGTCTCCCAACACACACACACACACATGATTATTTTTGACAAAATCATGTCCAAAGCACATAAAATAGTTCGAGAATAGAATGTTAATGAAACAGTCTTCAAAACATTAAAAATAGATTCGTTTTTGTAAGGATATACTTGCTTCCAATACACGAATCAAATGTAATATTAACGAACTTTACAACAAGGAAACAACTTGGACAAGGACAAAAAATTAGTTAACAAACAAGCTCACAATCAATGAAAAGCAAGTTTCTTCCTGGGATTCGTGTGTGTGAGTGTGTGTTGGGAGACTCTGGGAGAAGGCATGAATGATGAAACCATATAAGAAACTTGGCACTTACTAATATCAATCTTCAAAATAATTGATGTTCATGGTTTGTTATTCAAGAACAAAATCCATCGATCATTCTTTACATACATGTAACCACTGAATGATCAATCTGGTTTTGGTAAATATTAGATATTTCAAGGAACAAAAACCATCTATCATTGTTTACATACATATGCTCTACATACATATAGCCCCTACTGCCATCACTCACACCAATGTTTAAGATACTCTGTTTGGATTGTCTTTCTGATTTGCATAGGTTATCAAGTTGGTTAACTTTTGGTTGGGATAAGACTCAATTTAAAGGGGTCTGATGAAGATGAAACTATCATATGCTTTTAGTATTATTAGTGAGTTAGAAATGCTAGAAAAATATGTAAGTTAACTTGCCTCTTGTATCAATTTCATCTATGGTTGAACAGATTCATTTCATTATAATTGAATACCCTTTAGAAAGCACTCATGGAGAGTCATATATGTTTCTTCAACTGTTTTCAACTTCATATATATAAAACTTACAATTGATTGCAACTTAAGTTGAAGATTTTCTGAGCTTTTGTTCAATTGCCTTGTGGAGCCAGGCCTCAGCATCTTCCATCATCCCATGGCTAAGCCTCACCATGAGGATGCAAAACTCAGTCTCATTAAGCATCCCATCTCCATCAAGATCTCCATGTCTAACCATAGCCTCTGCATCCTCTTTGCTCATCCCATCCATACCCAACAGAGCTGAATTTCTCATTAGACTCTCACATGTGATCAATCACATTTCTGGGTCTGCTAGAAGATTGAAACCCCCACATAATTCAGATACAAAGGTTTCCACATCCAACTTCTCTGCCATCACAGGCAGCAACTCAGCAAGTCCTCAAACTCTGCTTCCATTGTTTTTGGTGGAGTAAGGAACCTCTTTTTCTTCTAATTGTAAACCGTTGAAACAAAGGTAGAAGAAGAAAGTGACTTTAGAAGACTTGTATATAATAACGACGAATGAAATGGCCTTTCATAGAGATGTAAAAGTTTTTTTTTTTTTTTTTTAAATAAATTCCCTGTTAAGTTTTTCTAGCAGTTAAATCTTGATCTGCCCTCCTACCCATTCTTTAATAAATTACAACCGTTAAATTAAAGTTCGAAGCATAAGAAATTACCTAATGAACAATATTTGATGTGAATTTGGAAATGGGTCAGAATCATTTTGTATTGATATAAGTTACTTTCTCAATCTTCATCGTTAATTTTATTTATATCTAACAGTTTTGATTTATTAAATATTTGAATCATTAAATATAAGTAAATTAATGATCAAGATTTGGTGTAGTGTAAGAATATCTTGTTGCTTATGAAATTTGAGTTTAGTGAAATGGTATTGTCACCAATCACTGTTGGTTTCTTAGCAAAGAACTTGATGAGTTGAGGATATCATGGTTGTGATCTTTCACATGATTATATCATGTTGTTTTTTTCCACGAGAGGATTCATTTCTTGAGTTGAGCTGGATAGAATTCTAAGTTGGAAAAATTGGATTCGTACAAATTCAAAAAATAATGCCCAAGTTGCAACGGGTAACTTCCGAATTTATCAGGTGTTTACTGAATGATTGACAAAGTTGTTTGTAAATGTTCTCATTTCCACAGTTATTAGAAACCACTAAATATTTCTAATTATATGCTTAATCAATGTGACAATCAAGTATAAATGAAGCACTTTGAATTTAAGCATAAAAATAATGATTCCGATTTGATCTCAGCTAATTCCAACGTTTAATATTGTTCGTGTCCACCAACAAGAAAAGGTTCATATCAAAAGAAAAATGGTCATGCTAAGCCATTATAAAACTTTCATATCTATCATTATATTATTATTTTTTTGGGTACATCTCGATCACAAATATTGGCACTACCGTCACAGAAATGCGATGGGCACTGAAATAATTTTTATTTTTATTTTCATTTTTAGATAAAAAAATTTGAAAGCATTTTCCTTAATACATAGCACGAAGGTTGCTCTGGTTTGGGTCTTTAGGTATTTTCCTTTGCATTTTTGCAGCCTCCTATGTTATGTCTGTTTTCTTCGAGTCGAGCAAGGAGAAAACTCAGTCTCCCCTGAAGGATAAATATGTGATTTCAATAAAAAAAAAAAGTAGCATGTTTCGTGATAACTTGATAAGCCAGACCTATATAACATATTTTAAACAGGGTCTTGCCTATTAACTAGGTATAAGCCGGTATGACCTATATATAAAGATTAAAAACTTTGGTTTAGATATGTTAATCTATTTAAAATTAGGCATTCAATATTCGTCAAGAATTAGAAAAATAAATATAATAATAATGTTTTATTTTAATTAAAATAATTAAATAGCTAATTTATTCTATTTTAATTAAAAAATAATACAATAAACCTTATAAAAGTAGACATATAATCTATTTTTTAGACTAATTTTTTTAAGGGATGAGCTTGTTATATTTTACAACGTAGGCCAGACCTTAAGCTTTTAATAAGTCATTTACACCACTACATGTGTGTGACATGTGCTCATCACTAGGGGTAAATGGAATAAACAATAGTTCGACATGACGTAATATATTTAATAAAAGATTCGTTTTTTTACTGCAGATAAGTTATTTGTAATAAGCTCAATACGACGTCGTTTTGAGACGGAAATCATGGTGTTCTTGTAATTTTAATTTATTTCAAGGTTATTATAGTCTTTATAATTATAATTTTTTAATCTTTCAATCCCAAAACGACGTCGCTGTGAATAAATGCAGATAACTTATCTGTATTAACTGTAGAAATATTTTTCTGTTTAATAAAACAAAACAAATATAGACATTTTAAAATGTTCTTTTAGGAAAACAACACTAGACCTATTTTTACAAGGCTTTGCTTAAGCCTACATGATTATCTATATGGTATTATTTTTCTAATTCTTAATAGGTATCGAATGTCTCATAGACTTAAATAGGTTAATATGTCTAAACAAGACTTATAATTATCTTACATTATATTAATAGGTAAAATCAAAATCAAAATATTTCATATAGATACTGAAGGTGTGATAGGTTAATAGTTCTAAGTCAGATTTATAATTTTGTTTACGTTGAAACCAAAACCAAAATATTTGGGACATTAATTTAGTTAATGTATTTAGACCAAAAACTAATGCTAATCTATTTACGTCCATAATTATAACTGTAATTAATAAATTTGACTTAATAAATTATAATCATAAAATTAACATAAATCAATAATTATGATTTGATATCAAATTTTTTAATTAGACACCAACACCAAAGTAACCATCCTAAGTTATAACTATTTGTCGCTTGAGAAAAAGTAAAGTATTGCTCACCACCTTATAAAACTTAAGGTGGTGTTTGTTGAGGGTTTTTTCAAATTTTTCTATGCAAATAAAGTTGGCAATTCGTATTGCACTTGTTTGGTAGACAGAGAAATGGCAGATTCTTCGGCCAACCAATTTGCATAGCATTTTTAATTTGGTCTTCGAATGCTAGACTTTTTGGCACTGTTTAGAAAGAGATGTTGGAGGTGATTTTATATAGATAGCCGGCTAAATCATGACAAAATAAATCAGACCATTATACCCTCTGACAAAATAAATTTTACCTAATTTGCTGAATAAATTTTTTCTAGGGAAAAGTTAACAATGCCCCTGTGATTTACTCCAGAATCACCTATGCCCCTGTGGTTTTTTTCTTATCACATATGTCCCTGTGGTTTGCAAAAGGGTATGTTTTTTATCACACATGCCCCTGTGGTTTTTTATTTTTTACAAAGCACAGGGGCATATGTGATAAGAAAAAAACCACAGGGACATAGATGATTCTGAAGTAAACCACAGTGACATTGGTGAACTTTTCCCTTTTTTCTAACTAAACAATTTTTTTTATATTTTCCTACCAAACTCACTTTCTAACCATTTCTCTGTCAATTACACTTTTCAAAGTCAGTTCCCAACCATTTCTATGTCAATTACATTTTTCTAATATTAAAAAAATTTATCTTCGACCAAAAATGGCCCCTCAGACGATCAAGAGTGACTCCAGTAGGATGGGGCCAACATCGTATCCACACATACGAGAGGATGACGCTACTACCAATGAGAGAAGATACTAATGGATAATATAACATGATCAAAAGTCAAAACTATTCACAACTTCATATTTCCTTTTCCCATTCCATACCATCATTCATTTCAATTCAAGCTATGCCTATGGAGGCTTTTTCCCTACAGTCACTGATCCCAACCACCATTCCCTCCTCTCTATCACGTAGAGTGCCTACTCATAAACCTTCTGTTCATGTTAACCTTCACAAATATTCTGATTTCCTGAGGTACCCTTGTACCACAATTCACACAATCCGTAGCACCAGACCTCAAGCTTCAGGTGATAAAACTATGCTCCTGCACTTTCCACCCCATTTTCTTCTTCTTCTTCTTTTAGTGCTGAAGGGTCATAATTATAACAATAATATGCTCCAAAATATGTTTCTTTGGCGTGCATTGATCTCTATGAATGTTAATTTATATATATACAAGGTTCAACAAAATGTAGTTCGGGTACCTCTGAGGGGATTCCTGAGAAAACAGATTCCAAGGATGACAACTTAGTATTTGTTGCGGGTGCTACTGGTAGAGTTGGTTCACGAACAGTGAGGTACATTTGTTACTTTACACTTTCACTTTTTGAGATAATAACTTTTGTAACATGCTGAGCAGTGATAGTTTCATCCAGGGAGCTTATAAAGCTTGGTTTTAGAGTCAGAGCTGGAGTGCGGAATGCTCAAAGAGCTGGTGCACTAGTTCAGGTAGAGAAGTTGATTTTTTTGGTGAGAGTAATATGACTCAAATCTTCTGTAAAATGGATATGCATTAAAGATGTAAATATGCACAGAGTGTTGAACAAATGAAGCTTGATGCTACAAGTGCAGGTGGAGGGAGTAGAGGTAAGTCAAGAAATTTTTGAAATCATCATGTCTCGGTTCCTCCAATGACAATATGCTGCTGTATAGTATAACAGAATGTTTTTGGTTTTTAGCCCAGCTGTAGAGAAGCTTGAAATTGTGGAATGTGATTTGGAGAAACCAGATGAAATTGGATCAGCATTAGGGAATGCATCAACAGTGATATGTAGCATTGGTGCCAGTGAGAAGGAGGTTTTTGACATCACTGGACCCTTTCGAATAGATTATCAGGCCACCAAAAACCTAATTGATGCTGGTAACAAGAGCTTTCATTATTGTTATCCTTTAGTGCTCTATGTTTTCAGCATGTCCTGGTCTTTATTTGTCCTAAAATTGAAGTTCTCATTTTTTATTGCTCAAGCTTTGTTAAGCCCTAAAACACTAAAACAGACTCTAATGTTTTCCTTGGATTTTCAAAAATAACAAATACTGGTTCAGCCAGGCCCAAGAAGTTGATGTTTATTGTTTTTTATTTTGTTTGTATTTATGTCTTGAGCAGTCACTATTTTACATTGTCCTAAATTTTCAAAACACAAAATGTTTGTTCTTTCTATCATGCAGCAACTGTTGCCAAAGTGAATCACTTCATATTGGTTACTTCATTGGGAACAAACAAAATTGGCTTTCCTGCAGCTATTCTCAAGTGAGTATGAAAGCTTTCTATTGTACTAGCTCTGTCCAACAATTTGCATATTTGTAGTTCATAGTGAAGCAGTAGTTATATTCACATATTGACCTTATAAAGCAGTTTAACTGATTGCTTAATTCTGCTTCTAAAGTTTGTTTTGGGGGGTCCTGATTTGGAAAAGGAAGGCAGAAGAAGCATTGCTAGCCAGTGGAATTCCATATACAGTGAGTCATTGTAATATTAGTTACACACAGGTGCAGGGTCCTAATTGTTTAATTATTTTGTCACTCTATAGATAGTGAGACCTGGAGGTATGGAGCGGCCTACTGATGCTTACAAGGAAACTCATAATGTAACCTTATCAACGGAAGATACTTTATTTGGGGGTCAGGTGTCAAACCTTCAGGTAATTTTTTTTCATTCTTGTAGAAGTTGTTAACTCTCCGTGCTGATAGTAAAAAAAAAAAAAAGAGTTAAGTGAATTTCATCTTTTTATACATTGCAAAACATATTGGAAAGCATTTGTGTATAGTGGAAAGCATATGATTAGAAATGCATGTAGACTGAGATCAATGTCACCATTTTCATTTAATCCATGCTTGTTGGATTCTTCTCTACACATACTGAACAATTTATCAACGTGCCTTGCCATGCTGTTAATGTGTTTGGATGTTGAATATAGTTATGTAGACATGTTATAACTAATTATTGCCTCTTATGAATAGGAATATATGTACTTGTATGGTTTGATTAATCTTTTATGCTAAATATCTTGTTTTGCTATAAATTACGCTCTCTTCTTTCAATCTAAAATTGTGCGACTGCTTGTTGATTTTCGATTTGGTGAGTGAGTGCTAGCAAATAGCAAAAATAACTTATTCTGATTCATTTGCAGGTTGCTGAACTCATGGCAGTTATGGCCAAGAACCGTGATCTTTCATATTGTAAAATAGTGGAGGTAATTGCAGAAACAACTGCACCGCTGACTCCAATGGAGGAACTTCTTGCAAAGATACCTTCTCAACGACCTTACATTTATTCATTCAAGGTATTTCCTTCCTCATGTGGTACATTTTAAGGTATGCTTGATCAAAAATTTTCAGCTTTAGTCTTGAAAAAGAGGGATGGTTGAAACATACAGTTGAATTCCTCCTGCTTATCAGTGCGCGAGAAGAAACTGACCTTCCCACTGAGGGTGCTCATTAACCATTCTACCTTTCTATTGCTAACAAGAGCTAGTAGTTAATTTATTGTTTATTTGGATGGTTCAGGAACCAGATATTGCAGCTGTCAATGATCCAGATCCCTCTGCTAATGTTGTGGCAGAAGAACCTAGCATTGCCACTCAGAAAGAAGAAGCACAAGCTAAACCAGTGGCAAAAGAGACACTTTCTCCTTATACTGTGTAAGCCAGACTACTAATATTGCCTAGATAACAGATGCTAAATATTATTTTGTGAAATCTGTTACTCTTTCTGATTAACTTTGCTACGGAAAGTTATAAGGATTAGGACACAGCCAATTTCTTCTTTATCCTTTAACAACACCCCACACAAGTGGCAGGCCCTAGTGCAATTTATATTGATTTTATAGAAACATTATTCAACCACAGAACCACCCCTTTGTTGGTGTTTGCATGTTGCATTACTGAGAGAGGAGCTATTTAGGCAGAAGCAGAAATAAACAAGACCAGGCAGTGTGATATTCTACTTGTTAGCTCTATTGTCTTCATCGACTTCTAGATTTTGCTGTTTGACATTTTATTGACATAAATATGTTTTATTTCATATGCTCGGTGCTTGTTTTGTAACCTTCTTCTGTAGTTTGATGAGTGGGGTTAATTGAGCTAGTTTACAAATGTGCCATGGGAACTTGAATAATTTGGTTCTGCATTTCCTGTATTTGATTAGAGGTAAATTTTCAAGGTGGAATGTGGAGGCATAATAAATAATTTGATATTTATTTTTTCAGTTATGATGATTTGAAGCCACCATCATCTCCTTCTCCGGCTCAGCCTAGTGGCGTGAAACAGATAAAGATCAGTGACATAGTGCCAAATCCTAGTGGTACAGATACTCCAAGTAGCGTGCCAGGAGTAGATGGCATTCCTCAGGCATCTTTCTCAAAAGGGCAGAAGACTCTCTCTCCTTATGCAGTGTAAGCCACACACTAATTTTGTGGTCAATACACATTACAGTATTTCTTACCTAAAAGCTCTTTACTTTGGCAGCTATGAGGATTTGAAGCCTCCCACTTCCCCAAGCCCAACACCTAGTAGCTCCAGTGATAAACCTCTTACTGCCTCAACAAAAGTGGAATCTGCGCCACCATCCACAGGGGACAATGTTGCTGAAAAGTATCCTTCTCAGGATTCAAGTTCTTGTAATTCTCCCTACCATGTGTAAGTCTAATTTCATTCTTGTTATCAACATCTTAGTAGTAGTTTTATTTGTGGTATCTCTACGTTGTGCCAATGCATTAGCTTCTGACCTTATATTATGTTATTTGGTATTGGTTGTTCAACTTTAGTCAATTCTATCACTGTCTCAGTTCTTGAAAGCCTTGTAAAATCTCAGCTTGATTTTCTTGTCAATTTTTGTTTTCTAAGGCCATGCTATACCTGCAGATATCCTAACTTAAAGCCTCCCACTTCACCATCTCCTAATGCACCAACTATATCACTCTCCGTATCTTCTGTGGATGGGGTGGCTGAGATCGAAACAGTATCAAGCAATGGACCAGCCCAACTTTCAATAGCAGATAAACCAAATGATGGAGAACATCTCTCTGAACCAAAGTCAAGGTCGCTTTCACCTTACACAATGTGAGCTGCTTCAAACTTCATTAAAATTTTTCTTATTTCTTCTCCAATGACACTTCATTCCTTAATGCAAGGCATAAGGCATGTTGAATAATTTAACTAAAGAAAAGAGAGAAGGGAGGGGGAAGGGAGATAAAGAGCAAATCCCAGTGCACAAGGCTCCCGACTTTGCGAGGGTAGTGGTGAAGGTCGATTGTACGGAGCCCTACCCTTCTATTTCTATAAAGAGACTATTTTTCAAACTCAAATCCGTGATCTTCTGTTTACAAAAGAGCAACCTAACCTCTAAGGCTTGCAGGGGGAAAGGAGATAGCAGCTAAGAATTCATGGCTTGTATAATTACGAATTTCTTTTAAAGAAAATCAAGTATGAGTGAAGGAATGAACCCAAGTTAGGACCTTATAAATAAGAAGATATATAAATATAACCCAATGCATTAAAATTTTGGATCAAGAATATATGTCAAGTTTACTATTGTGATTTTGACACATCCCATTTTTATGTTTGCTAGGCAAGATCTCTATGTTGTTCTTCTTCTTTTTCCCCCCATAAAATTGGAGATCTCTGGTTTATTATCATTATGCTAATGTAGTTGTGCTGAATCTTTAAAATATTGCTAGTTTGTGCTTTTGGGGGGGGCATTGTTTACATTCTGATCTGATGCAAATGAACATGCAGGTATGAGGATTTGAAGCCTCCTGCATCACCAACGCCTTCCTTCAGAAAATCTTAGCAACTGCCTGCATATGGAATCAGACAAGGTTAGAAATGCAAATTATTATATGTATACCCTTGATTTTATACTATAGTTTGAGCCTTATTTTAGCTGCTGAAGTTATTGAACTTATAATTGTAATAGAGCTGTTGGAGCAAATAGGATAATCCTATTGAAGAGTTAATGCAGGGACTCATGTGGAGGATAGTCAGTCACTCAAATATGAAGATGGGAAGCATTTCTGCGTATTGAAATTTTTTAGCAATGTCATTTGTTTCTTGATAACCTTTTGGTGGGACTCAACGAGTTGCTCCGTTTTGTAATTTACTTTTCCCATGTTCCAATATAAATAAGGAAAAGGTATTACTTTTCATGGTCAATTTCTTCATTTTTTTTTTATTCATATTCAATTTTATGGAAAAAGTATTTATCCTATAACAACAGGTAAAATTATAACCAACAACCTTAAAGCAATATTATTTTGGGGTTTAGGAGAAGAAATACAGAGTATTTGGAATATTTTACTTTTCTCTTTATATCATAAATTTTATTAAAATGCACTGATTTTTTTTTTTAAATTTCAAAACGATATTATTTTAAAATTATAAAAAATAATTTTATTTACTGTTAAATGAAAAATATTAATCCCCAATTTTATTTACGGAAACATGTTACCAGGTCCATTCCAAATGATTGTGTACTTTCCTGCCGCCCCCATTTTTTGTACGTTAACGCCACTCGCTTTATGTGGCCTTATAATTTGGATTTGAATTTGGCTCTCTTTGATCGTTGTTTTTAAAAATAATTTTTTAGTTTTTTTAAAAAAAAAAACTAAAAAAATCGTATGGTAAGACTTGTTTTGTAAAAAGTATTTTGAAAACTATAACTGTTTTTTTGTTTTTAGTTACAAATTTAGAGAACATGAGTTGTTTTTGTTTTCTGTTATGGTTTTTAACTTTCAAAAATAAAAAATATAGAAACCGTAACTATTTTACAAAACAGGTTTAAGAACAAAAAAATCAGAACATAATCAAATAGACTATTATTGTTTTTTTGTTTTTTGTTTTAGAAGGAAGGTTGTTTTATTTTCTAAGTGGATAAAAATATGTTTTTCTTAATTTATGTCACTAGAAGTAAGACTTTTGATAAAGATAAAAGGAAAAAAATATTTCTCCGGTAACTTGAGATAAGATTTTTGAATAGTTATGATTTTCTTTTTCTCTCTCTTCCTTTATCATTATTGATCTATCTTTGTACTGTTATGATTTAATAGCCGAAGATAAAATTATCTCAAATAGCTTGAGAAATGATAAGCCCAAGATAAAAATGTTTTTAGCATCAGATTTGATATTATGTACATTTGGATTTCAATATAGAAAAATTATTAAAATGAACACAAGTTTTATATTTTCCTACAAATCTGGAAATAATGTTTTTTCCTTTTGAGCATTCCATGTGTCTCTTATAGTTAATTTTTTTTTAAAGTGTATTTTAAATTTTGAAAGTACATCATATTATTAAAATGATATTATATGTTAAAGCAATCTAATTATAAAGTATTAATTGTTTATTTTGGATTGCAAGATGAAAGTATTTGTTGTCTTGAGAAATATATTAGCCTATCATTTAGGCTGGTTTGTATATTGAAAAAAGAGAAATGATCCGTTTACAAATTTTTTTTACAAATTTTTACAAATTACACTATGTCTGACCGGTAACTTCACTCAAGAGTGTATTACCGATCAGACATAATGTAGTTTGTAAACAAAAAATTTATAAATATAACCTTTCTCTTAAAACAATTTATAGAAAAGTTTGTTTCACATGAATGTGCGTCATTGAAATTGAATAAAAGAGAGAAAAAAAAACATAAATAAATAATGATCATGAGAGTTATTTATGTTGTATAAATGTTATCCAAAATTATAATATTAAGCACTTCCTATTCATAAATGTGTATTTAATAATATTAAAAAATTGAATCATGAGATGAAAGAATCCAACGACAAATTTATGTGTTTCACCTTCTTTCTTTCTTCTTTTTCCTTTTTTTTTGGGTGTGCAGGGGGTGGCCGGGTAGGGATGTTAACGGATCAAGCCGAGCCGAGCTTTGGTTTTAAAAGGCTAAGCCTGTGTTTAAACTTGTCAGCCTGACCAAGCATGTTACCTGTTATGAATACAATTATCGGCCTTTGGCCTGACTGATTTACAAAAAATAAAAGTCTTATTTAGCCGCCTGTTAGCCTGCTTAAAAAAATAAGACAACAAAAATTTATCCAAATAGAATATACAATCAACAACATTAGTAATTAATTCCAAAAATATTTATAAACTCAATGTATATCTAAACATCATAATATAGAATAAAATCATTAAAAAAGTCTATTTAACCAATAAAATGGGGTGAAATGGATTGAGGAGAGAGAAAAGGCTATTACAAGTAGTATAAAAAATATAAAATAAAAATAAATATATTAAGTCAGTCTGGGAGGCTCTAAGGCCGAGCTTTTGAATTAGAGCCTGAGGTCTTTTTATTAAACGAACTTTTATACAAGTCCAAGCCTGGTTCTAATAGTTAATTTTAGGCATGTAAGCTCAGACCTTCCCGAGCCGAGCCAAAACTTCTGGATTATTATCATCCCTAGTGGGGGGTAAACTTTGAAGTGTTAAATGTGCATAAGAAGATATTATTGTCATTTAAGGAATTCTTATTCAATAATTTTATAACATTTGATGATAAAATCATCAAATTCTATTATTATTATTTTGTGTTGTGTCCCAAAAAAAATTTCGGTGTTAAGACTTTATTTAAAACAAGTAATAATAATTATGTTATATAGTTATAGACTTATAGTTAAACTACACTAGGTGGCCTTAGCTATGTTTACGGAATGTTATAGGTAAAGTAAAATATTTTGAGCTTAATGATTTTCCTATAATGTCATAGTCAAAGAACTCGTTATTGTTATGTACTAAAAAATAAAATAAAATACGTCATTGTTTAAGTATAAAATTTTATGTCCGACTTTAAGCTATTCATTCGTATAAAATAAAATAAAAATATTTATCTTTTATAGTGCAATAATCTTTTATTGTGTGTTTTTTTTTTTAAATAGATGTCTTCATTAAGGTTAAGTACCATATTTTTTTTACATTTTTTATTTTTTATTGAAATGTTGTTTTTTTTTTTTTGGTAAACAAAATATTGTTTTTTTAAATTTTATTTATTTATACTTTAAAATATATTTTTTAATATATTTATATTAATTTTTTCAAATAATGATTGTTTATATTTTTAAATTATTTACGATTTTTTACATTATAATTTGTTTTTTTTTTTTTCAAATAACAGGTGTTCTACTCTTATATATTAGATTAGAGTATAATATTTTGAAAATAACTTAAGCTTTTAATTTATAATTTTTTTAAAGAATGATACTTGTGATTCTTAACTTTTTTTTGTCTTTAAATTTCAAATTTAAATTAATTTAAATTTTTTATATATCAATTAATACCTTTCTCATAAACGAATGATATAAAATATAATTAATATATTGTAAATAATAAAAAAGTTGATAATTGTTTTTTTTTTAAATTGATATAACTACATGTTTTTTTTTATGAGTAAATATCATTTTTCGTTCCTGGAAATTTTCACGAGGCACAATTTAGTCCCTAGGTAAAAAAGGTCACATTTCAGTGTCTAATTTTTGAAAAAAAAAGGACATGTTTGTCCTTCTATTACTGGGAATGTGACAGCCTACTTGATGGAGGCCAGCTGGAACGTTAAGTGGCTGAGTCACTAACGTCACAGCCACGTGGACATAATACGATGTCGTTCAGATAGATGCCTTGTGTCTAGCTGGATGTTTGGACAGGTGACCCTTGCATGAAAGGGTTAGTGACCCAATATAGTTCCTGTCAAATTAGGAACCCTAAATCAGCCTAAACCATGAAAAAAAAAACCCAAAAGCTCCCCACGATGAAGATTGAAAAGAGTGTCAAGTAGAAGGTGTCTACTGGCTATTTTCTGGTGCGTAGAAGAAGATGAGTATGTCATCTGGCTTGGGGGGATCAAGTGGGAGTACGTCTTTTGGGTGTAGAACAACCTCACGGACTGGCGGTCGAAGGTGCAAATGTGAGAGGCAAACAATCGTCTATACCTCCAAAATAGAGAGAAACCCAAATAGGGCATTCTTTGGGTGCCCTAATTTCAAGGTATACATTTGTAAATTGAGTTTTGATAACTTGGAATATTTGCTTACTGTGGTTTGCAATTTTGGCAGGATAAGAAGCCCTTTTGTAATTTTTTTAGATGGGTAGATGACGTATGCAATGAAAGGCTGGAGCTTGAGGATGGAAGAATCAACAAGGTGGAGTTGGATGTTGCTGAAATGGATTTCAAGCTGAAGTATGTGGACATGATGATGAGTAAGCAATTGCAAGCTAAGTTGAATGACCAAGGTGTGAAGATTAGTGGGCAAGAATTGAGTATCAAGGTGCAGGAAAGAAAGCTGAATGACCTATACCTGAAGATGGTGGAGGAGTTAGATAGGATGGACAAGGAAATTAGGCATGTTGGTAGGGCAGCTGAGGTCTTAGTTGCTGCTTGTGTAGGGTTTCAATGATTTGTTTTTTGATTGCAATTGTTGTAACAATGAAATGTAGTGTACGGAATGTGTTTTTTCTTCAATGAAATGTAATGACAATGCAGTTCTGTTTTTTGATGATTAAAGTTCACAAGATGCTATGATTATATGGCAATGTAGTTATGTTTTTTGTGCTATAAAATGTGTTTTTGTGTATACTGCTGACTTCATGATATAATACAGTATATGTCAATAGCAATTGAACAAAGTTATGGAGTAATACAGCCCATTCCCATACATCATATGAAGTTCATTCCTGTTATGATTCTACTGTCATGATGGGGCATAACCATTTTTATCTGCACAGTGAGGGTGGACTGATGTTATGTGGTGGTACATGGACATTACAGATAAATGACAGTTGGATGTAGTGAAATATCCAGTCAAATGGTATGTTGCAAATGGGAATTTGAGAGGTGGACATTGGTACGTAATGATGAAAACTAAACCCCAAAGGCCTGCTCCTCATTAAACTTGGGAAACACTTCCCTCTCAACCTCTTCATCCCCCCACTTGAAGGAGGAGTCTTCAATTCTTCAGAATTGTAACCATAGCCCTGATCTTCAAATGACATATTCTCCTCATCCTCTTCCAAGTTTTCTTCCATGTCACTCTTGTTAACTGCCTTTTTTTCCTTCTTTCCTTTCACCTTTTTTTTCAAAGCAATTATTGGCTCCTCCTCTTCATCCAATTCATCAAATTCATCCTCTGTTTCGTCATCAACACCCGGTGGCGGAGGCTTGTAAGGCTCATCTTTTACACTGTCGTATGAATAAGATGACAGTCCATTGCCCTCTCCCTCTTCGCTTTCATCAGCAGAAAAACCAGAAAAAGAATTAAACTCACACGAACATCCAACTAAATCACCTAAGACCCCCTCCTCATTAGCACTTTCAGGAGGAGACCCTTCTGCAGGCCCAGCCAAAATCTCAGGAACTGCAATGCAACCATCAAAATATATGTCTATTTTGTTCCCATTACTTAAGGTAGCCTTGACCATTTGCAAAACATCTGAATCCTTTTCAAGTAGATGCAACCCAACCTCTAAATCACTCTCACCAGGCTTCAACCACCACATCTGCCTACATTTGTGGTAACCATACCCCTTGAACATAGCTTCAAGGTCACGAAGGTTTACATAGTCTGAATCCATTTCAGGTAAATCATCCACTCTGCCATTCACATAATTCAGCTTCCCTTCATCATTCCTAACCAACACACCCCCATGATGATATCTTATCACTATATATTCATCAATCTGCATAGAAAACAGAACATAATCATTTTTTACACTACCTTAATATTATTTTACAGTATCATACAACCAATCAATTATCATCAATATTACTATAATATTGTAACAGTCACGGTTATTTTAAATGGCTGCATTGCTAAAAAATTGGGGTTTTTTTTTGTAATCACTACACATAGCAACTTAAAATAAAAACAGGGGGACCACATGCAACAAGTTCCAAAAATATTCTACCAAAGGGGACCACATAAAAAAAACCCTAACCATCTCTTGCCCTAAACCGCACATGGGGGACCACATTAAGCAAAAACACAATGACCAAAAAGGATAGAGGGACCACAGATAATAAAGAAAGGGTTTCTCTCACGTACCTTGCACGAATGTCACCACAGTCACAATCGTTTTAAGGATCTTCACCCTAAACCACACTACTTCCAAAAGCTTGCAACTGCAGAAGACACGTACATCAACAAAGCACCGTAGGTCACCAACCTTCACCGAAAACGAAGCTCACGAGCTGAGGAAATGGCGGAGGAAATGGAGGGTATAGACAAGTTACTTGTTGTCTGACTGTGTTAACTGAGTCAACAACAAAGGTTCAAGAAGTCTATCTTCATCAGACGACGTCGTCTGATGTGCCTCTGGCGAGTGTGATTTTCCAAGCTGGAAATTATAAGAATTGAGTAATAAAATAGCAATTTAAATATATATTTACTTATTATATTGATTCTTCTATGTTAATAATATTTCTCACCTATTGGTTGTGTTTTTACAAGAAAAAGAAGTGAAAATTATAAAAAGCTTGTTGACACGACTCTACATGGGTGTATCACAGTATAATTTCCAGCAACATGGCGTGGACTGGCGCCACTCTGACGCAAACCAGCGCCAGGTTACGAACTGTACAGCGTTGGGCAAAGCATGGCGCAAGGTAGCATCATGATGCTAAGTGGCGCCAACCCAAGCCCAATCTCATGCCAACTTGCGCCAAGAAACAAGGAGAATGGCGCCAATTCCAAGCAATGCAGCGCCATTTTACGTAGAATGGGTTCCGACTTTTTAATTGAGACAGAGGCATGGCGCAAACGTGTGCCACACCGGCGCCAACTGGCATCGGTTTACGGGAAAGAAGTACCGTGTTGTCCGAGGGTATTTTTGGAAGAAGGAAAAGAGGTTTATAAATATATCCTCTTGACAGAACCCTAGGGAGGACATTACATTCAGAAGGAGGCCGACGGCAGAGCTCAGGAGGACTCTTCCACAGATCTTCTTCTTCATCTTCTCTTTAATTTTATGCTTTCATTGAATATTGGATTTTTAGCCATGATTATGTTTGGCTAGTTACTTTTTATTGTAGTTAGGGTCACAAATCCTATGTGAACCCTTGTTACGCGGATTGATTTATAATTGCTCGTTTATATAATTATCTTTATCTCTACCCTGTTCGTATTTTATATTTTCTTTATTAGAATTGATCACTCTAATAGTTGATAATAGTCTAAGGGTTAGAACCCTAGATAGGAATATTGAGGTTTTCATCTTGAAATGGGGTAGGATAACAGTTCGTATGCATGTTAGGAATAGATGTGTATTGAATTGCGGATGCCTAAATTATTGGGTTCATCGCTTAATTTTCATGAGGGGTTGCTAAGGGATTAGGATTCCAATTGAGATTAAATGGTTAAATTGCCAAGGGATTGGGATTTAACTAATTATTTTAGATAATAATTTATCCGAGTAATTTTATAAATGAATATTGTAAATCAATCCAAAGTAAGAAGTGGGGATCATAAGGTGAGTGCGCTCTAGCTACAATGCTTTTCTCATATCTTCACAAACCAATTCTAATTTTTATTGTCCATTTCTCATAAGCAAAAATTACAAAAACAAGTCTTTATTTTCAATTCTCACTTTCACACAAATCGACATTATTTGTCACAAACAACCTTTGAACTCTTCCATTCTTAAAAGGAACAATTAATTGATATTCGACTCAATCCCTGTGGAGACGATACTTTACTTACTATCTATATTACTTGTGCGATCGGTATACTTGCCAGAGAGCATCATTGTCCCCTTCTACACACACCTGATACAGCCTTCCAATGTAAGACGACGTCGTTCCTTTCTCCTCCACGTGGTTGTGACGTTAGTGACTCAGCCATTTAACGTTCCAGTTGGCCTCTGTCAAGTGGGTCATCACATTCCCAGTAACAGAAGGACAAACGTGTCCCTTTTTTCAAAAATTAAACACTGAAATGTGACTTTTTTTTTTACCTAGGGACTAAATTGTGCCTCGTGAAAATTTTCAGGGACGAAAAAGGGTATTTACTCTTTTTTTATTTAGAGTAAATACCCTTTTTAGTCCTCAGCAAATTTCACGATACCCGCTTTAGTCCCTAACAAATGAAAAGGCTCATCGTAGTCTCTAACAAATTCAAAATGGATCCATTTAGTTGAAATCGTGGTCCCTCACAAATTCAAAAAAGACACGTATTAGTCCCTAAAAGGACTAAAATGGTTCCATTTTGAATTTCTTAGGGACCACGATGGGCCTTTTTATTTGTTAGGGACTAAAGTGGGCATCGTGAAATTTGTTGAGGACCAAAAATGTATTTACTCTTTTATTTATTCTCACTACTTTTTTGTTAAATAAATCATCATTAAGTTTAAAGTGATACAAAATATATGATTTGGTTCAAATAGTTATTTTTTATGATTACAAAATTTTAAGATTCACATGATTTTGAAGAATTGTCAATAATGCTATTAAAATTAGCCTACCATTAAATTTTTTAATGATACTCAAACAATAAGGACTTGATTTTTTTTTAAAAGAAACTATAAAAATTTAATTATAAGTTTTTATAGTACAAAAATTCAATAAAAAAATGATAAATAATATATGAAATTTAAATTTAAATGACTTTAAAATGTTAAAATAACAAATATAAAAATAATATTTAAATTTATAAGTTGACGAGGGGTTTATCAATTGGTGCTAGGGTTTCAATTTGGAGTTTGAAGTGAATCGAAATTAGAAGAGGGAAGATTGTGGAGTGTGAATCATGGATGATACCCCTTCAACAGCTTTAGCGTACCTTAATCCATCTTACTGGTAATCACTAATCACTAACCAAAGCTTGGAACTTTGCATTTTTTTTTTCTGAATTTCTCAAAATTTTAATTCTCCTTCGTGTTAGGGATGAGAGGTTTTCAAAGGAGGAAAAATATGAGTGGTTCAAGGATTATTCCCATTTTCGTCACCTCATTCAACCCCATCTCACAACCCATTCTTCTGTAAGACTTGTATGCTATTATTTATGGTGTGATTATGATTTATATTAATTACTGTTATATGGCTAACATTAGCATGTAATTGCAGGTACTGGAGCTTGGATGTGGAAACTCACAAATGTGTGAAGAGCTACATAAGGATGGAACAACAAACATAACTTGCATTGATATTTCACCTGTTGCAGTAGACAACATGCAAAAACGGTTACTTTCCCGGGGTTTCAAAGGTTAGCTTTACTGATTGATTGCATGGACTGGACATTAGTACGAGGAGGTTATACTTACCACCATTTTAGGCTTATCATTCTAATTACCTGTTTAGTTATTGTTATATCAATTTGAAATTAATTGTTGAAAAAGAGAAAAAAATAACTGTCATTGATTTCAAATTGATCCAATAGTAACAAAACAGGTAGTAAGAGTGATAAGTCTAAAATGATGGTAAGTATAACCGTCCCCTAAATATATTTATAACTTGGAGTGGTTGGTAGACATGAATTGATGATTTGTAATGTATATGATTTTTTTTTCTTGACTATTAATATTAATTTTGTCATGTAATCCTGTTTTGCTCATTTTGTTATGTGATTTATTATTTTTCCTTGTTTTCGTTTCTGTGATTAGACATAAAAGTGCTGCAAGCTGATATGCTAGAGCTGCCTTTTGAGGATGAGTGTTTTGATTTGGTTATTGAGAAAGGAACTATGGTAAATTAAATGATTTTTCGTTTTGACATATAATGGAATTTTGTCATGATATTGTATGCTAATACTTATGATTACTAGATTATCAATTTTTTTAAGGGTTGAATACTTGAATGTGAATATGCTACCTTTGATTTTGAAGGATGTATTGTTCGTGGACAGTGGTGACCCATGGAATCCGAGGCCTGAAACTATATCCAAGGTCGTGGCCATGTTGAAAGGTGTTCACAGGGTTTTGAAAGCAGATGGCACATTTATCTCGATAACTTTTGGCCAGGTTTAAAGAATGAAATGAACTGTTAGGTTTGTCTCTTTTAATTAGTACTGCTGTGATTCTAATCTACTTGAAATTCATGCCAGCCACATTTCAGGCGTCCTATATTTAATGCACCAGATTTCAGCTGGTCTGTTGAGTGGACTACTTTTGGTGAAACCTTTCACTACTTTGTCTTTGTTTTGAAGAAGGTTAGTCCATATAACCTCACTTTTTATTTTTCTTGTGATGATAAAAACAAATGTCTGTTTCTTGCTATATCAAGTTATAGTTACCAACACTTGAATATATAAGTTCTACCGAAATTTCCACATACCATTGGTTCTTAGAGTGAACAATCATTTTGGTCTTTCAAATATATTGTTGACATCACATTATCAAATTGGCTCTTTAATGATTATTAATATCGTTAGTTTTGTACTTAATGATCAATTTGATGTCATTTTAAGACTAATTTAATAGCAAAAATGTCACATTGAAGGACCTATTTGATGTTCTGCATATCTTCCAGAGGACAAAGCTGTTGAATTTATAAATAAAGGACCAATGTGATGTCGCATATATCTTTGGAAGATCAAAATAGACATATACTCTTTTTTTAATATTATAAAAAAGTATTTGAGAACAACTTTTTGCAGTGATGAAGAAAATGACACTTTCTACTCATGACAATATATATATATATATATATATATATATATATATATAAATATAAGACTTATCATTTCTCAAGCTGCCGGAGATAACTTTATCTCCGACTACTAAATCATAACCGTACAAAGATGGATCAATGGTAATAAAGGAAGAGAGAAAAAAAAAAGAATCATAACTATTCAAAGGTGAATTAATTAATATAAGAAAATAAATAAACAAAACGACATAGTTTTGGGGTGGCCGGAGATAAACTTATCTCAAGTTGCCGGAGAAATGTTTTTCCCATATATATATATATATATATATATATTTAGTCTTGGTTCTCCCACCTTTGATGGGGAGCCAGGTTACCACCTAAGCTATTGCTGACGTTGTTTAGTTCTGTTTTCTGTTTTGGTTTAGAGTAGGATTATGCGTAAGATACGGATTATGATTCATATACATGTGGTTTTACTGTTCTGTATTTTTGTTTTGACTATGATGAATGAACATTTTTCAGGGACAGAGGTCATCACATGAGGATATACCACCTGTTAAGAGGTTTGAAGCACCGCCTATTAATTTACTCCATGAAGAGTTAGAAAGTGAAGATTTTGCTTTCCGAATCAACGTTGATGAGTTGAACTATTAGACTGTATTGTAAAGATTTTTTGTTATCAGTTTTAATTTATTTTACTTGCTGCTATTTTTATTCCCTTAGCTTGAAGGAGGAATGCAATTATCTTAACTAATGGATTTAGGCACACAGATGTTGTACCAAAATAGTAATTTTATTTTGTTGAAAATTAAAAGAAACCGTCTAAAGTTGCTATGCTTGGGCTACTGTTTATATATACTTCATGTCACTAACAAGAAGGAAAAATATATACTGTCACCCATAAGAGAGATGACAGATAAATGCTATTTGAAGATATTAATTTTGGGGTTCTAGATGAACTGTTTACGATATTCAAGTCTAGTGCTAAATAAATTATAAATTTGTAATGTCACTTTCTCACGTTATTTTTTTTTAATTAATAATTGAATCAATAATAAATAAAATTTTTCGAATATATTTTTCTAATTAAAAAGTGTTTGTTAAACAAACGTGACTTAGGAATGCCAATGGAGCAGAGTATGCTTATTAGTGTCAATTTTGTTTTCTTAGTTTTATGATTTCACTGCTATGGTTATACGTTATCTATCATTGTTGGAGTACATCAAAATACATTACTTGATATTATGATTTATATTGGTATGAAAATACATAACTAAACGTTCTAGGATAAAATGCAGAAAAATCCCATCGTATTATGGGTTATGTGTAATTTATCTTTGAACACAAAAAACGGTTAAAAGAATCAGATCATTCTTTATTGATCTTCAATCCTCTTCTTTAAGAAAAAGCTCCTCTTTCTAAAACATGGCCTTCAATCCTCATTTTCTGCATACCCACATTCTTATTCTGCCACCACAAACAAATGTAAGGTAATGTTCTTGGTGCTCATGTAGACCAAACATCATTCTAAAAAAGTTTTTTTTTTTTAAAAGTCATTTTGAGAAATTTTAGATATTTGGGTAACAACTTTTTAAAAAAGAAATTAAAATAAAAGTTAAAATGGTATTTTTTTTTGGAAGTATTTCTCCAGGTCATTGGAGATAAAGTTATCTCCAGTTAACTCAAAATAACATCGTCTTTTTAGGGTTATAAAATTAAAAAGTTATAATGATAAAGACTAATATAGCCCTGCAATATTTTAAAATTATAAAAATACTTTGATTTTTGTCACAAAATGACGTTGTCTTGGGCTCACCGGAGACAACTTATCTCCATTGACCGGAGAAATCTTTTACTTTTTTTTAGCCAATAGTTAGTTGCTTTTGGAAAGAACAGAAATTAAAAGATAACAAATTTTTAAAATACAAATTTAACCTTATTCTATCAGTCTGTTATCTTTTTCTATCCTACGATCATTTCGTTTTTTTTGTGTTAGCTACAACAACCTATCACTTTACAATCAAATATCTCCTTATTTTTTTATTTTCATTCCTACTTTTTTTTTCTTCAAGGTATCGTTTTTCTTTCATCTCTTCTCATCCTACAATTGCTATTTTTTATTCTTCTTTTTTCTTGGTAAAAGGTACAATCTTATGCTTGGTGTTTGGTCCTTCTTTTTTTCAAGCCACAATCACATAAATAAGAAAATAAACACAGAAACCAAGCCACACAACAAACAAGAAAGTGAATACAGCGTTGTATCTGTATGCATGTAGATTTTGTATATAAAAAGTGTTTTTTTATTATTTTAAAATCCAAATAACTTTTTTATGTAAAAACAATTTTCAGATTATACATCTAAACATAAAAAAAATTTACCTTTTAAAAAAAATTATTTAAAAAAACATAATGCATAAAAAGTCTTTTTTTCAAAAGTTTATCCAAATGAACTCTAAGTTGATATGTAAAGAGTATAAATTCACATTTTGTAAGTTTTTATTTTTTTTATATTTTTTTATATTTTGAGTGTTGGACAGAGCATATCCAGTTACAATATGAACAAGTCTTTTAAACTTTTGTTATCACTTAAGAATAGATATTTTTTCCACATTTAACTAAAAATAATCATTGTTCTTACCATTTTCTAAGTTTATTATATAAATTAGAAAGACCTAAAGTTTGAGTAATTTTTCACAATTGAAATGAGATATATTGGCCCAAAATTTAAATACCCAATAGAATATATGTCCTTCCCACTCCATAGAGTTGCAATCCGGCTAAAAAACAATTCTATTTTTAAAAGAATCATTAAAAATAAAAGAATATTATTTCATGTAACGCCTTCACATTAGTAGAATGACGTCTTCAATATGAAAAAATGACTAATCATTATGCGAAATCTGAAGAAGGGCATAACATTATTATGGTGCACAAGCACAACGTTGACTAAGATGTCGTTGGCATTCACGACTTTTTCTATTGATTCGATTCTTTTCCTATTTATGTAATTGTGAAAAGAGCATAACACATTCATTCAAAAAATTTTCTGATATGTAAATGTAAAAAGAGCCTTAACACATAATTCAAATAAAAAAATCGCGATAAATGTGTAAGGCAGAAATTAAATTCATTGATTCATCATAATAAAATAATTGATAGCGATCATCTAATTTTTTATTTTTTTTGGTAAAATGGAGGGCCTAGCCCAGAACAATTAAATTAAAAACTGATGCATGTTAAAAGATACATGCTCCATCAGCAAGAAACTACAAAAGTCTTTCCAAAAAGGAAAAATGCTTGCAGGAGGTATTACAACTTGAATCCATAAAGTGAATAGAATCTGAAAAACTATATTGATACTGAAGCTTGCTGATATTTATATCAGCATGAATACAAGATGACGTAAGCAAAGCTATCTAAAGTTATCTAACAACCCCGCTAATAGAAGAGAATCTAAACTAACTCTAAGCTAACTAACTGAAAACAGAATCGTAACTAATAGGAGTCAGTTAATAGATTACACTGTGAGTAAATAAGTAAATTAAAATAATTAACTGTAACACCCCCCCTCAAGTTGGGAGGTAGATGTCAACAAGGCCCAACTTGCCAACAAGGGACCGAAAAATGGCAGGCTTCAAAGGTTTGGTGAGAGGATCAGCAAGCTGTGCAGCAGAAGAAATAGGAAGTAAACGGATCAAACCACTTTGAACCTTTTCGCGTACCAAGTGACAATCAATCTCTATATGCTTTGTACGTTCATGAAATGTGGGATTGTGGGCAATGTGGATGGCAGACTGGTTATCACAATAGATACATGAAGCAACTGATGGGGACAAACATAAATCACGCAGCAAATAATGAAGCCACTGCATTTCACAAGTAACTGCAGCTAAGGCCCGATACTCCGCTTCACAAGAGGACCTAGAGATGGTAGTTTGTTTCTTGGATTTCCAGGAGACTAGAGAGGAACCCAAGAAAACACAGTATCCTGTGATTGAACGTCTTGTGTCAACACATGCTGCCCAGTCTGCGTCAGAGAAGCCAGTGGGCACCAAATCGTTATCAGCAGCAAAGAACAAGCCCGTTCCTGGGGAATTCTTCAAGTAACGAACCACCCGAAGAGCAGCTTGCATATGAGCATCCAAAGGTTTGGAAAGGAACTGGCTCAATTGCTGAACTGCATATCCTATATCAGGGCGAGTATTAGTGAGATAAAGGAGACGACCAACCAATCGTCTATAGCTCAAAGGATCAGAGAGAGGAGAGCCTTGTTCTTTATGAAGTTTGCAAGAAGAATCCATGGGCGTGGAGACAGGCTTAGCACCAAGTAGGCCAGCATCATCAATAATCTCAACAGCATACTTGCGCTGATTCATGATAAGCCCTTTGGAAGATCGACAGATTTCGAAACCAAGAAAAAACCGTAAAGTTCCTAGGTCTTTTATTTTGAACTGATCATCTAAGTGAGTTTTCACAAGTTGGATTTCAGGAAAATCATTGCCAGCAAGGACAATGTCATCAACATAAACAAGCAACGCAGTAAACTGAGTTCCGTTAGACTTAACAAACAGAGAGTGGTCAGAAGAGGCTTGAGTGTAGCCAAAAGACAATAAAGCTGAGGTTAACTTAGCATACCATTGGCGGCTTGCTTGACGTAAACCATACAACGATTTGTGTAACTTGCAAACTTGTGAGGGACGAGCAGAATCTAGGAGTCCAGGAGGGAGAGACATATAAACCTCCTCGTTCAATTCTCCATGTAAAAACGCGTTATTGACGTCGAGCTGTTCTAGAAACCATCCCTTAGCAACAGCGACTGAAAGAAGAACGCGAATGGTGGTCATCTTAGCTACAGGGGAAAATGTATCAAAGAAATCGACTCCCTCTAGCTGTGTGAACCCTTTAGCAACCAGTCGTGCTTTATGGCGTTCTATGGAACCATCTGCTTTACGCTTGATCTTGAAAACCCATTTACAGCCAATGGGTCGTTTATGTGAAGGAAGATCGACTACTGACCAGGTATTGTTATTAGCAAGTGCCTCAAGCTCTGCTGACATAGCTTTTTGCCAACAAGAATGCTTTGCAGCTTCTGCATATGATGAAGGTTCCACATCAGTACTGATATTGAGACAGTACGAGGTGTAAGGGTTGGAACATTTGGTAAATGATAATACAGAGGAAAGGGAGTGGGGAGTGGATGAGGAAAGTGAAGGTTGTTGAGTGTTTAAGTAGTTGCAGTAGAAGTCTTGAAGGTAATGAGGTTGTTGGCGTGGCCTGGTTGAACGGCGCGTGATTTGGTTATCTGGTTGGGGAGAGTTACTGATGGGTAATGCAGATGGTTGAGTGTTTGCTGATGGATAAGATGGAATCAACAGGTCAAAAAGGTCATTGGAGGGATAGGTAACAGTAGTCATGTTGTTATCAGTAGGTGTAGTATTGGGAGATGCAGTTGGCTGCTCCTTGAAGGGAAATTCCATTTCATAAAAGGTAACATTTCGTGAAATGAAAATTTCGCGGGACCTGATGTCTAAAATAACAGAACCCTTGGTTCCTTCTTTATAACCCAGAAAAATTCCTTTTCGTGCTCTAGGAGAGAATTTGGATCGATGAGCACTTAAGGTACTAGCATAACATAGACAACCGAATACCTTTAAGTGAGACAGATTAGGAACTTGATTGTGCAAGACTTCATATGGTGTTTTGTCAGAAAGTAAAGGAGTGCTCAATCTGTTGATGATATGAACTGCATGAGATACACAGTAAGACCAGAGATTCAATGGAAGGTGTGCTTGAAATAGAAG